ACCAATTCCCACAACATGAAACTTTATCGTGGTAAGCGTACGTTTTGGAAATGTTATTTCAATTGGAATCTTATTTATCAGAGTTCATATGGCGATATGATTGTTTTGAATCTATGCTAAACTCCATATCGGATCATTTTCCACCGAAATCCGACTGACTACTTTGATTTTAAATAAAGTGTTTTATTTTATGATTTGTCGCAAAAATTTCAAGTGAAGATTGGCGGTACTTAAAAACCGCCAAATCTGTAGCGGCGGTGGCGTTAATACGTAAGTACCGAATTTTTATTCCATACTTTTCTGAATCATATTACTTCAAACATTAGAATATACAAGAAGTATACATAAACACATAATGTTATACCATTTAATTTTTCAAAAAAAGTATTTCGACAACAATTTTATTCTTTTCTTTAGATACGTTTGTTTATTAACTGTTTTAGTCCCTTTTCCTTTACTAATTTTCCTAAAAAAAATAGTAGAGGAATAGCCCATTTTTCTGGAAAAATAGAGTGGTATACAAATTAAAAACTATCACTTTTTTTTTCATTTAGAAAACATTTTTCTGACCTCTAATTCAGTAAATTTAAAAGAAAAACCTTATTTAAGTTGCTAAAATTAATAAAAATTTCAAAGATGAAATTTATTTCCAAAATAAGACACCCTCCTATTACTATCATACCATTTCCAACATGCATCCCACAAGTTACCTCAATCCTTACTAAACAGGTCTTATTAGGTCCTAATGCCATCCTAAAGCGTTCTAAAGGTATCCTGAAACTGTCCCAGTTATGACATCATTAAGATATCTGCAGGTGGGACATTCTAACACGCAGATGACATCCGTAGGACATTTAGCGGTAAATATAGGACTTCCTCTGGAAGTCACAGAATCCTAAAGATGACAACTTTAGGATGTCATAACGAAGTCAATGTGCTGTATGGGATAGCATATTCTTCTTCGTTATAGAATAATAGTCTCATACAACAACGCCCCCTATAGATCGTTGCGATCGCGAATGGTGTCTTTAAAGACTTTCTAAAACTATTATTAAAATGTAATCTCATAATAAATTTTGAGTCAAATAAATTTTCTTTTTCTTAAAAAAAAAAAGAAGGATTAATGAGTTTTGATATTAAACGCCTGCAAACGTGCGTTTTATCGTTAGGAATTGACACCATTATATATTTAAGAATGTTGTTGTTAATTTACGTCGCACTAGAGCTGCACAATGGGCTATTGGCGACGGTCTGGGAAACATCCCGGAGGATGATCCGAAGACATGCCATCACAATTTTGATCCTCTGCGGAGGGGGTTTAAGAATGAGGAATTGGAACCAGTTACTTTGGCTGGTCGACATTTTAATAAATGAACTCACCTGATTGGTTCATGTTATTATCGTTTTAATTTTGATCGTTTTTTAGGGGTACTAGATTGTCATTTATAGCATTCGCTTGTTGCATTTTTCAAATGCGCATGCTTGGATAATTTACATGTACCAATCGTAGTACGTTGTAGATTAAGTTTATTGACTGCTTTAAGTCAATGGGATTCTGATGTCGTTTCGGAAAAAAAAATGGCATAATAGACATTTTCTTCAATTTCTTAAAATATTGATGGTCTATTTTCAAGTAAAACATAGTTTTAAAAAACAATTAATCAAGTTTCAGATAAAGTGTGATATTCTTTATACGAAAAAAATTGATGAAAATCATACCATATTAATAAACAAGCAAAAGATATTAAAGTACATTCAAATATAAAAGATAGAAGAGCAAACTATACATGCAAAATAATTTTTTTCAGTAGTGAGATAGCTGCAATATATGGCTATCAAGTAAAAGTGTCCACGCCAAGAGACATTTTATATTAATTCAGCAATAAGTAGTGCAATACTAATTTCTAGTATCTATAAATCTCTTTGCATGAAAAAGAATATTGTAGATAATCTAGTAAATTTCCTTTTAAAAAAATATGTATTTCCTAGTGTAATCGTAACAACACCCCAGCTCAAACGTTTTCACCATTTTCCCTCACGCTCCAAAATCGGGCATCCAAGCTCTTGGTAATTGAATTTGTTTAGCAATCACCCATTTCAGCTGATAATCATAGCTTAGGGTTATTGGCGATCGCAACACTCGAATACGCCATCTGGGGAGAGACCGGTTTCATGCCTTTAGCCCTTCTCCCTTCCCTCTCCTCCTTTTTTAAGTTGTATGGATGGTGTTTTCAATAGAAATGTAAACAATAACAATCTCGAGCTCGGCAAAAGTTTGCAGCTGCTTACTACATGTTAAAGAATCTCAAAACACAGTGATGCCAAATAGCTTTAAAATACAACTGAAACAGTAACCCGGAAATTTAGGCAGTCCCGAGCTTGCAGCGTTCCCTAGTGTAGAAAACACTATCCATAGGAATGTACTACGATATTTTCCCTTTTCTTAATATTTTTCCTTTTTATTTAATAAAAATATTTTTTAAAATTTCCGTGATACCTTTCTTTAGAACTATATTTAACGTAATTTTCAGTTCCATATAGTTTTCCAACTTAAAAGATTTTAATCTATAAGAAAATCAAGAGAGAAACTAACGTACTTCTTTCCTCTATGACTTTCCACACGCTAATGGGGAAAGCATGTGAGGTGTTGCCATAGGAAGAGAGTTCTGTTCTACGCCACCTGCAGCCCATTTCGATCGCCAATGGAGAAGGCTGGCATTCAAGACAGTGCGTAAAGAAAAGAAAAATTTGGTTAGAAGAAAATGGCAATATAAATTGGGGCATGGTAGTGTTTATTTTGGTTTTTTGCCGACTGTTCTTGGATGTCATAAATGTCATTTTGACAACTATTATCAGTTTAAGACTGTGAAAAAATTAAAATAAAGAAAATTAGCAATAAGTAGAGTAAAGTTATTGCTACATAGACTGTTTTTTAAGTATTTCTGTTTAATTCCTATCTGATACTTATGCCTGAACATTTTTTCATTGAAGTCATAATTAATTCTTGCAATAATATTTTTTACTACATTTAGCTTGTAAAAATTGATATTGTATTTTATAAAATCGAAATTAATTATAGACCTCCAAGCTTAAGTATTGATTAGAATGTTTCATACTCTTAAATTTTAACTAACATTAGTCAATGTGACATTTAGTTCACCTTCGTAATTATATTGGAGGAAATTTGCGAACTTATTTCATTATCTCATACTGTTTTAGGTAAATTTTCTGCATTTCCTAAAATATAAAATTCCATACTGTATTTTATTGTCGAAATTTTATTTATTTTAATTATCAATTAATAAATTAAAAGAATTATAAAGAGTAATTTATATTTTTGAAACCGCTGAAAGAGTTTAATACAAATATGTTGTATAATTGAAAAAAAGAAAAAAAAACCTATTGTACGAATTATTTTTACTATTTATATACTCTTCCAATAAGTGAAAGAGGAAAATAAAAACCTGTGTAACTTGGCTAAAACTGGAATTGATATAGGAATAACTTTTATGTGTGAGTGTACATGGATTTAAAATTTTAATTAATTATACTTCCTACTCTAAGAATCAACGAGGAATAATAGATAATGTATTGTAATCTACTGTAATGATAGAGCCACTGGAAAAACATGGAAAGTTTAGTCATGCTCTTATTATGTTATAATTATTTTAACAATATTAATGAAAAACTTTTGAGCACATGTAAAAAGATAAGTAGGAAAATTTTTCTTTTAACATTTTATAATTTTCCTTGAAGATAGATGCAATCAATCATAATCACCTGAAGTAATTAGGACTTGACCTACTTCATATAATTTAAATCTTTTGGTTATAATCATCGTTTTAATACTCTACTTTCACAACTAATTTCTAAAGATTAAGACTATTTTTGAAATTAATATTTCTATTTAAAATTAGCTTCATTATGATCATTTATTAAAGGCCCACGCTTGCAAAAGTAGATAAAGTGGCAGAAATTTCAATTATTAGATACCTTCATCCAAACTAGAATTGAGAATAACTAATCAACTAGCAATGTTATTTTCTTTCTTTAGTTCATCAAAAATGGTCAGTTCTGTGCAAATCAGATAGTATTCAAAGAGTTTTTCTGACTAAGAAAATTGTATATAGAGATTGAGGGGTCAAAATTCCACCTTCTGCACCTTTATTCCTTAAATCAATAATGTTACTGGTTTCTGTCTTTTATTTACATAATCATCAGAGTTTCAATGCGCTAGGACTGATATTAGAAAGTAACACATCTGCCTTTTGCTTAATATGAAACTACATAATCAAATTTATTATTTTTAATTTTGTACTATCTAATCATAATTAATGTGGTCAAAAGTATTTCCTTTTCTAATTTGCTTTCCCATTGTTTCTAATTTGAATGGACCAGAAAAACTGATAAAAGTTTTTGATTAGGAATTGACTGTTATTTGGAAAATACATTTATATTTCTATTCTAGCTTCATTGTTGAGCCGTGCCATGTGATCATTTCATGATTGCTGGTGATATAAAGGCTATATAATACAATTATCCCCAAAATACTGCTACAGTACAGAACCCGTTATCCGGAAATCAGAAAACCGGAAAACCAAAAAACCGGAAAGAAATTCGATGAATTTTTCCGCCATTTTAAAAATAAATTTTTTTTTCCTCATAAGATTTTAGGATTTTTCTTTCTATTTTGAAAGATCTTTACCTTACCATCATTTTGGAAATAATCTTTAGTGTATTACTTCATCGTTTTTTCTTCTTTTTAAGATTATTTCCAATATTTTTTTTTAGTTAGGTTTAACAATAAAAAAAACGGCTTTTTGTAGCAATTCAGAAAACTGGAAAAATCAGTTATCCAGAATAGCGATGGTCCCGATCGTTCCGGATAATAGCTTCCCTACTGTATATATAGCTATAATATGTAGTTTAGTCATACAACTGTTTTAAAACTCTTTTTTATTTGAAGTGAAATTAAATTTATTTTATTTCCTGACAATTTTTTCTAATGTATAATTTTTTTTAACATTTTGGATACTCTATACTACTAATTTGTTTATAATGATAAACAGAAGTACAATCTAAATCATATCGATGAAAATAATATGTAGCATATATTTTTGATTTGTATCATAAAAAAGGTACCATGTCTATCCTAATCAGGTATCTTAAAGACAATCATAATTTTTTTAAACAAAATTATACTAATTTTTCTATAGGAAAGCCATATTTTTTCCGTGATGACAGGATATATGCCTTTTTCCTTTCCCATTCTTGTGATTGTATTAATGTTTATTAGAGTATTTAAAGTTTGAAAAACAGATAATTTTTAAGAGTAAACTAAAGGAATAAATTAAATTTTAGGAAATGGATAACGAAGAAAAACCAGACTTTGAAAATCAAAGTTTCAGCTCAACTGCTAACCATGTTGATATAAATTTTGCAACTACATTGCCTGATCAAGTTTTAGAATATAATACTCTACCCTGCAAGAGGTTAAAAGTAGATAATGATTCATCATCACTAGTACAACTTTCAGACCATATTCCTTCATCAAGTAGTGAAGTTAAACCGGTTAACCAAGAAAATAGAAAAAGTGACCATAATGATATTAGGTAATTTGTTTTTCCTTATAATTTTATTCTGTGTTTAAATAATATATTTTTGTTTCAAAGTTATAATAATTATAATTTAAAATTTATGTTAGTTTTTAATGTATCAATTTGACAGATTAAAGAAATTTTTTAAAAGAATAAATTGCAATTTTTAAGTAAGCATCTTCCCACAAAATCATTGAGGGGGCAACTAGCCATCTTTCATTTTATGGCGTAACAAAGTTAACTTGCAGACAAAACATTATTTACTGTAACTTGGGACGAAATCTAAACAAATACTGGTTTTAAAGCATGTTTGTTCTTCTCCATGTTATGTAACAAAACCGGCCGAAAATCTTTCCTGTCTTCAAATAACATTTAAAGTTCAGGCAAATATTTCCAAATTTCCAAAAAAAAAAAAAAAAAACACTTAAGAGATTCCTCCAATCAGTAATTGTCTATTTTTCAATGTAGATGTGCCAGGAAATAAATTCTGTTACAGCAATTTTAGGTTTGGTAAAATTCAGGAATTATTCTAACTTTAAAAAATGTATTTATTGCAATGTTTGATTAATTATATTTAAATCTTTATTACTTTAATAAAGATTTTGATTTATTTTTTTAAATAAAGGTAACAGTTTTTTATTTCAAGATTTTTCAGTGTTTGATAATAAAAAGTTTTTATCAAAGTTTTTTTTATTAAAATTTTTTGTTTAAAATTCTGTAACATTTTCAGAATTATTTAAACTTAAGAGTTTGAATTATGGATGTTTTAATATGTGGTAATATCATAGCACTATATAATGACACAAGATAGTATTTAGGAATGGTAGTCTTTAGGAATTGATAATGATTATTATTAATTTTAAAATATTGTGTTTTTACAGTTTTATTGATGTTTTTTGTTTGTTCATATGTGTATTTTCAAGTTTTTTAACTGATGTATTATGTTACTGCATACAATAAGTTTTAAAATTATTCTAGCTAATAGGGGAATTATTTTTCAGAAAATAGACTTGAACACTGCTTTAATTAGTGCTCTATGTTTCAATTATTAATTACTGTTTATGACATATATAAAAAAACATGATTAACTCTGATAAAATGTCTCAATGTTTTGCCCAGTGCCTCTAAAACCCTAAGCAAGCTTCTGGCATTTCAGACCAAACTATTGAGACCATATTTTCCAGATTGCGGCTACTCCCTATATTTACAGGTTTAAAAATCCAAATCTGTCAGGGAAAAAAGGGTACTACTACACTAATTTATCATTTTAAAAAAATTATGTTTTTTTGAATAAGGGGTGTTATGTTTTAACATTCTCAGTAAACAAGGATGTTAAAAAGCTTTAACCCAACTTGCTCTGTGATTTCATTGATATTTAACCACTAGACAAACTTTACCAATTTTGAAATGCATAGGATCCCTTAACATTAAGTCTAAATTTATAAATTTGAACATACAAAAATATGAAAAAAATCATCAAACATTAAAAAAAAATTTTTTTTTTAATTTTTATTTATCTATTTATTTTTTATTGTAAAGTGACATTGTTTCAAATATTGAAGCTATAAATATACTGACTGATGCAATGTTTCTTATGAAATTTTTTGTTAGTTGATTTTGATAGTTTAATTATACACTGTGGATGTCCAGATATTTCTAATTTTTTTCAACTGTTAACTCTAACTCGTTCTTCACGCAGATAATTAATTTCTCACCGACTTCTCCCAATTATCAACCAATAATATTTAGGTTTTTATTTTTATGTTATGCAAAATATCTCTGATAATAAAATATAAATATTTAAAGTATTTTGGATGATATGAATATAAGTTTTTTTTCGGCTTATGTTTTGAACTTTTTTATTTGGTTTTGTCACATCTGAATAACAAAACACCTTTTCTTTTTACTTTTACATTTTGTTTCATGATAATATTTATTAATTGTAAAGATATATATTATGTAGTAGTAATTCTATTTTCATAATTGTAGATTAGAATACAGCTGTTCAGAAGAGGAATTGAAAGATAATGACACTAATTATTTCAGGTAAATAATTTTTCAAATTTCTCTTATTTGCTAAATCAAGTTAATTGAATATTTGAAAGTGCAGGGTGATTCATAACTATTAATCAATAATCTGCATGTAAAGCGCACAAAAAAAGGACCATCCTGAATAACTTTTGATCTAATGATCCGATCTTTGTGATCTAGGACTCAATCTTAATGGTTACAAAGAGTGACCTAAAATATTCTAATTAATTGGTGCTGATGATATTTTAAGTTACAAAATCAGACACAAAAATTAACTTTCTCTGAATGAATAACCTTTTTTTACTACGGTTTCGGATTTCTGACCTTCAAAATATGAAGAGTGGCCACAAATCTGAAAAATATTGTCCCCATAGTTTGGTGAGGTGAGTGATCCAAAGCTTGGACAGTGATCCAATGCTTGGAAAGTGATCCAAAGCTTGGAAAGTGATCCAAAGCTTTTTGTATATTTTCCCATATCTCGAGAATTGAAAAATTTTTGCACACAACTATAAAATTCGTTTATCCAAAGATAATTCCATGCAAAACATTCATTTTAATAAATTTTTATTTTTTATTTTATTTCATAATAGTCAAAAAATTTTAAATTGTTAGTTATTTCATTTTTTACATCATTTTAAAGAATGTAATTTGAATAGTTCTTGGCAAAATACGAAATTTGAGCAAAATCGGTTGAATAGTCCTTGAGAAATCAAATTTTAAAAAAGTTACATATTTTAAATTCGATTTCTCAGAAACTATTCAACCAATTTCACACAAATTTTGTATTTTGCCATGCAAAATTACATACTTTAGAATGATGTAAAAAATTTTGTACCTTACAATTCAAATTTTTTTTACTATTGAATAAAGCAATAAAAAATTATAAATACTAACTAAAATTTATTTTTTGCATGGCATTATCCTGGATAAATGAATTTTTTAATTATATGCAAAAGTTTTTCAATTCACTAAAAAAGTTTTCAAGATATGGGGAAATATGCAAAAAAAAATAATAAATAAATAAATAAAATTGACATTTTGAAGTCCAAACTTTGAATTGCTGTCCTAACCAAACTATGAAGACTGTATTTTTCCAGATTGTGGCTACCCCTTATATTTGGGGTTCCAAAATCCGAAACCGCCAAAAGAAAGGTAGGTTCATTCAGTGAAAGCACTCTTTTGTGTCTGGTTTTGTAACTTAATATATTGTCTGCACTAATTAATTAACATATTTGAGGTCATCCCCTTGAACCATTAAGATTGAGTTCTAGAATATGAAAAACCGATCATTAGATCAAAAATTATTCCAGTTGGTCATTTTTTTGGCACACTGTTTGTCTGGAATAATGTTGCATAAAAAGAATGGAATTAAATCTGGCAAGCAAGTTGAGCAGATTTATTAAAACTAAACACATTTCTAGTATACAAGAAACAAGATTACTGCTTTTTTTTGAATGAAATGCATTAACTTGTATGCACAATGCTAGAGAAATGATAGAATAATATACCAGAAACTACTAAAACATTCCATTAGAATAATATTCCAGAAACTACTAAAACATTCCATTAGAATAATATTTCAGAAACTACTAAAACATTCCATTATAAACCATGTTATATTTCATAAATAAAACCTTAAATTTTATATTATTATTACATGGCTCTGTTTACTTAATAGAAATCAGGATCTCCAACTTCCACGCTTCATGTGAATATGATAACAAGCAAGAACAGTCTGAAAATATATTATTTGCATGCCTCTGACCACTTGATAGAAATCAGGATATCTTTGACTTGCTGCACTTTTTGTAAATATGATAGCAAGCAAGAACAGTATAAGAATATATTATTATTTACATGTCTGTGACCACTTGATAAATATTGGAGTATTTCCCACTTGCTGCACTTCATGTGAATATGATAAAAAGCAAGAACAGTATATGAATATTTAAAAGTTTGTAAAGCACTTGATAAAAATTAGGGCAACTCCAACTTGCCACACTTTACATGCTAAATGCTCACCTACTTAGAGGCTGAGAGTTGGGAGATGGGTCATTAATAATGATACTTTATTTTATAATGAGGAGTTTGCCAAGTTTTTCTTTGGAGAAAAAGTTTCTAAGCAGGCTTTATTGTATAAGTTATGAAAAAAAAAGTTTATATTATCATCCGAATGCTTGATATCTACTGAAATTCATAAATTTTCAAAGATGTAAATAAAATTATTTATATCGCAGAAATAATTCTTGTGAAAATATAATGCTCTTTTAGAACTGACCCTAAAGAGAGACTCTTGGCATCCTTTTATTGAAACAAACTAATAAGTCTTTTGTTTAATATTTGTTAAGAGTATTAGTATTTAACCTATTCAATCTTGTAAAATTTTGGCATTTCTTATGATTGTACTTGCTTTTATGAACCAGGTGTTATGCTGACCTATCAATTCATAGAGTAATGATTGGAGATTATTCCAGAACTCAGGCTTATCGAAGAGCAATTCTAACCAATTACAAAATGTTTCATCAGAAAGTAGTCTTAGATGTTGGTGCTGGTACAGGTAGTTATATAATTTGTCTTTCATTCATGTAATTATCTTGCTGGCAATTTTTTTTCTTAGTATCATTATATTTTTAGTGATCTGATCTTTTAAATACGGAAATTTAAGTACATTATTTCTGAATTAGGATTCTTATTGTCTTATGTCATGTTTTCTCTTTTGTCACAAAATCGTGTTATTCTATGTATAAATTCACCTTTTAACACACATTCCTATTGCTTATTTTAGTTGGAAAAAAAAATTCTTTAATTTAATTTAATTTTATTTTAATTATAATCTATATGCACCAAATTGTGCTCTATGCCATAGGTATTTTAATCATTTTCTCTAATGAAGTTTATTTTTAATATTTTCTAAGCTATTATATAATTACATTTTAAATTTCCTACTTAAGCTCTTAGACTAGTAATTATGAATAGCATCCCCTTTCTACCAAAGTCAAAGTACATTCTTTTGGAAAAATATTAATTTGATTTCAAGTTAGTTTTTATTTAAATCATCATTTTTCATTATAATTTTTCTTTAAATGTTCATGTTTTGCAATATACTGGTAACTAATTTATATTTCCTTAAAAAGTACATAAAGAATATATATATGATACAAATAGCAATAAATTAAAAATATTTACAAACTAAGACAATAGAATCATTTATTTTACACCTGTGAAATATATTAGAAATTTTATTAATGGCGGAAGAGAAAACTAACAATTTTCTCTAATATAACTTGGTCCAAAAAACTGGTTAAAAAAAGAAAATGATATAATGAAGATTTATGGTGATTACTTAAAAATCATTAGCTTTTCTTCATAAGACAGTAAAGATTAGCTTACTCTATAATAAAAATTATGCTAAGCAAAATAAGCTGGAAAAAAAAACTTAGTTAGTTTTCCCCAATTCAGAAGTTTCTCAAAAATTTGCAATTAGTAACATCATATTGCTAAATAAAAAGAAGCAAAAATTAAAAATTATGCAGAAACCCATAGTAAAAATTGCTAAAAAATCAACAATAATCATCAATGATTATCAATCATCAATGATTATCAATCATCAATCAAATCAATAATAATCATAATCATCAATGATTATCAATCATCAATTAAATCAATAATAATCATAATCATCAATGATTATCAATCATCAATCAAATCAATAATAATCATAATCATCAATCAAAATCAATAATAATTAACAAAAAAAATAATCATCTATAAAATAATGTTGATTTATGAATGATAAATAAAACTATGCTGACAGTTCTATGGGCATTCAAGCAATTCAAATTCTGTAGAGCAATTTAAAAAGCACTAAAATACAAAGAACAAAATAGTTTGATCTGCTAAATTGCTCGACTAATTAATAAAAGGTAGATGGTGTGGGTTGAGGACTTTTTTTCATACAGTACAGTGTTGAACTTCTAAAATTTCTTCTTTAATATGCTTATTGTTTTGCATTTTTTCCATTGCTTTATCAACAATCTAAACCATTTCTTATAATTTTTATAGGTATCCTTAGTGTATTTTGTGCTCAAGCTGGTGCAAAGAAAGGTAAAATATCTAATTACTCATTAAAGTAATTTTGTTTTGCTTTTATCTCACTCAGTTATCATTATTACTAAATTAACATTGAGTGATAATTTTAATATTAATATGACTGATTAATTTTGTCATTTGTTTTAGTTTATGCTGTTGAAGCAAGTTCCATAGCAGAAGCAGCTAGAAAAGTTGTAGCAACTAATGGTTACTCTCATGTAATTACTGTAATTGAAGGGAAAATGGAGGTAAATTGCCATTTTGAATTTTCAGGAAATTCAGTATTCAAAACACTTCCGTAACTTAGTTAAACATCCAAAGTTGATACTTTAATGTTTAGTTAACATTTTAAGTTATCAGAAATGAAATCAATTTTTTTGTTTTGTACTTTTTGCACAAGTAAAAGAGCATTCTTACTAACACAGAATGACAGTAAAAATACAGCACAGTAGAAATTTTTTTTATCTTTTTCAGAATACAAATTTCATTAATGTTTAAAAAGTAAATACTTTCAACGCATTTTTCATTTCATTTATTATTTCTCACTAAAAAAAGATTAAATGTTGAAACTCTCAGCCCTGAAATTTAAAATATCTGAAGTATTCAAAATACCAAGTTTGAGCTATAGAAGTTTGACTATACCCAACACTCTTAATGTTTTAATTTAGACATTTTGGTGCACATTTTGACATTTAAACTTCAATAAGATCTTTTTTACTAATTTATCAGAAATTTGATTGTAATATTCTGCAGTATCAAAATAAAATATTGTTATAAAATAACTATATTATTTTAATAGTTGAATGATTTATAAATTCAAAAAATATCTTTTAAACTCTTTTATCAGTGTATGCTTTTAATTTGTTTTTTTCCCCTATTTGTTTATTATTTTACTCATATGTTTATTTTTATATTTGACCTTATTTATGGATTTCATTTTAGGATGCTGTTTTACCAGAAAAAGTAGATATCATTGTTAGTGAATGGATGGTATGTATCACTAATTACATTTCTTGTAACTTGTTTAATAGTGACAATGCTTTTAAAAAAAAAGTCTTTTGATGTTAAAAATTGTATTACTTTACAAGCCAGTTGCTCAATTATTCTATAAGTATAACCTATCAATCATAAGATTTGTGCATCAGTATTTTGTTAAAGAGAAAGAATAATTATGCTTCATAATTATTTTTTAAGGACTTAAAAAATATTTTTTTATAATTTTTGTTTATTCATGAAAATAATTTTTGAAAAAATAAAGATTTAAATCAAGTTAATTTAAATAAAGTACATGATGTTATTCTTTTCTGCCACCAACTTTTTATTGAATTTTTTTTTCTAATTTTACTATATATATATATATATATCATAATTTCCTGCAGCTATCATTTGGCCTTACGTGAACTCAGTGTATCGCAATTCCACATTGATCTCCACACTCTTACAACTTCACCACTTAGTGGTTCTTAACTGCCTTTGCACCATTGTTCTAAATCCAAGGCGTTAATGATTCAAATGTAATTGGGATGGGTAGAAATCATTTATAGACTGATTGTTTGACGACTTTCTTGAATGATATCTGGATAAAAGGAAGAACTGGAGGTTTAAAAATTATACATTAATTGCTCATTTTGCAGTTTTTTGACTAATTTTCAGGCAATCGGTCTCCTACACATACTAACTTGTAATGCTATAATGCTTCCTTCAGAGATTCTCCACTTGACTACTATTAGTTCACCATTTTTGCTCCCATGCTCTTAATATTATAAGTGCAAATCAGAGAAGTAGAAATTATTCAGAAAGTTAAAGTCTAGGTCGTTAATTTCTTTTCTGCAAAAATCAAAATAATCATCCTAAGAAAACATAAGAGGTCTTGTATTGAAGAAAAAAATGTGAATTTTACATGGAAGGAAAAAATAAAAGTTCTAGGACTTTTAATTTGAATACAGTGGACTTAACTGTGCAAAAATAATCAAAAAAGTCATGCAAATTTTATAATTGAAAAACTATTTAATAATTCAAAAATAGGGTTATTCATTTATTAGGTTTTTTTATATGTTTATAAAATATTGCTGTAAATGTTTTTTTTTTCTTTTCAGGGTTATATGCTTATGTATGAATCAATGCTTCCTTCACTACTTCAAGCTCGTGATAGATATCTAAAGGAAGTAGGTTATGTAATATTTAAAACAAAATGTCCAACTTTTGAGCATGATCAATTTAGAAGTTATTTAATTATATTTCCATTAATAATGTTGTAAGAGATGTGCATCTATCTCTTAAAGTGTAAAATCTATAGTTTAAATGTGATTTTTTGTAACATAACGATAACAAATTTTAGAATGGTCGCCTTTTTCCGGAAGAAGTTAGGATATACATTGCTCCAATCACAGATCATCAGCAGTATGAATATAGGTGAATATGCCATTGAATGAAAATAAATCTCTTGTTTTATTTTCTGAGTGAAATTACCATTGTTTAAAAATATTTGCAATATTTCAAATGATAGCATTTCAGCAGAAATTGCAGTTAGAGAAAAAGGTAATTTTAAATCAAAATATAGATAAATTGCAGTTGCTAATAGTATCTTTCATTACTAAAGCCTATACTCAGAAGGTGTGACAGCCCATAAAGATTTGAGGCCTATTGTGCCCAACTTAGTTTTCTTGAACTTAGGCTCTGAGGTGCAAGAGGGCGATGTTCTGGTTGGGTGGTCAATCAAATGTGACCCCCACCGCCCGTGTTTAGTTCCCAAGCATGCCTAGTACCAATTTTATCGATCCACTTAAGGGATGAAAGTCTGAATCAACCTTGCCCAATCCAAGAGTAGAACCACGGTCCTGTGGCACGGAAGCATCTACCAATCAATTACCAAGCCTTATTTTTATCTACTATTTAGTCTATTACCCTTGTGTAATTAAAAATAAATTAATTGAATATTAATTTTGAATTTTTTTTATAGAAGTAGCAGATCATTTATTTCCTTGATTTGTCCCAAAAAAGTTAATCTTTTTTTCTTATTGGAATTACTTGGTTTTAGGAAAAATATAGTTTTTACCATTCATAGTAGTTTAGGAGCTATATGCTTTATTTTTATTGTGTTTAAATGAATATAAGAGAGTAGTTGTGATTAAAATGACAATTTTTGAAACTATTCAATAAATTTAGTAGTTATATATAAACAGATGATTTACCAACCAAGTGTTTTGCATTTTAGTAAGTTTGCGTTCAAAGAAATTTCTCCTCAACATCCAACTTTCTCATGAAATAACACAGGAAAATAAAAAGTTTTTTTCAAAAAAGAAAAACAGGTGATAGGACATTTTTAAGTGTCGCATAAGCCCATTTAATTAAAATATGGCTTAACTAAGAGACATTATAGTAGTATAGAAAATGAAGTTTTTTAGAGAGGTTTAAACAAAACTTTTTTACAGCAAAATTGAACTGTAAAGTAATTAAATTTAATAATAATATTATAGTTTAAGGTTAAACTGGGTGTTTAGCATTTTTAAAAAGTGCTTAAAGATGCTTATTTTTGATTTACTTTTTTTAAAAGCCCTTAAAGGTGTTTTTTTTATTCAGGGTTTGTAAAAAGTGCTTAATTTTCTATGTTTTAAAAAGAGATTTTTCTTTGCCGTATAAATTGTAGTTATCCAGTGTAGTTCTAAATTACAAAAAATGCATGATTTTTGCAATGTTCTCTGCAATATAAATCAAAAACTAGTTATTTTATCATGATTATGTAAAGTTTATGAAAATGTTTTTGAATTTTATTGATATTATGTTTAAAAAATTAAGAACTTAAAACAAAAGAAAACAATTTTTTATTACTGCACAGATCCTAATTATGACTTTTTTTTTTGAAAGTGATTAAAAATATTTTTTTAGTGCTTAAAAAGTACTTGTAAGGTACTTATTTTTTGTTGAAAATTCTGGCTACACACTCTGTTAAACAGGAATGGAATTTATTTATTCCCTTTATCATTATGATTTACTTCTCTATAAATATATATATATTTTGCTAATTACTATGTTTATTATGTTTTGCTTTATTTTTATTAAATAAAATTAAAATTATTAAATTAAATTTCTGAATTTATTTTCTAAAACCTCGACGAATACCCCATAATTAAAGTACAATTGTGAAATTTTTTAAATTTGCATTTTAAGCTGCAATAACATTTTTACATTTTCTCTTGTATTTTCTTTAGCATGGCAGAAATGTTTTCTTTAACAAATATAAGTAACATTCTTCAAATATAAATAATTTTGATTAACTATTTTTAATAAATAATGTTTTTTTGAAAATTGAATTGTTCTTTGATTTTTTATGAATAATATCTGCCGTTTTACTTTATTTTTCATTGTGTACTTTTTTTTATTACCTGTCATTTTAGTGTAGATTATTGGCATAAAACTAAAGATGACTATAAAGTTGATATGAGTATTCTAGCTAATCTTGCTGCTGAACAATTGAGGTGTAAGTATTTTCAATTTCTCATACTAATTTTTCTTTTAAAAAATTAGTTTTTATTATTTTATTTGATTTTTTCTAATTTTGTGGCATTTATTCAAAATTAGTCTGTTGCTGTTCTTACATGGTTAAAAATGAGGATGAACAATTAAAGTTGATTAATTTCTATGAAAGAAATCTTAGGGTACATGGATAACTGCCAGCACTCCTGGGTTTTTCAGTCGACTTCCGGATTTTGCCAGTTTCTCCTAATTTTTGTATATTTATAAAATTCCTTAAAATTGGAAAAGTTTCTATAAGATCTTTTGAATAATTAAAGCTGTTAAGTAAAGAAGTGAGCATCATTTACACCAGTACTTAAAAAACTTTTTTAAAGTTCATAATTTTTGAAAAGTCTTTTTTTATCATAATTAAATTTCAACCTACTATATGTTTTTCTAGAATAATTAAAAGGTATGCTCGCAAATTTTTTGTTTTAGAATTTATGACAATTACTGCCACCAACTTCAAGTTTGTCTGTCACAAACATTCTACTTTCAGTAAGAAAACTATCATAGGTAGACATGAATATTTAGAATTATGTGAAAGAGTAATAAAATTTTCAGAAGAATATCTATCCTCCTATCAATTTTTGTCCTTTTAATCATGCAAGCCTAAAAACGGTAGATCATGAAAAGAACAGAAAGAGAGAAATGTTTTGTAAAACAAAAGTTAATATAACACGTCAAGAAAAATTCTGCTAATATTGCATAGTAGTTACCTGCTGTGCAATTTGAGCAGTTTTGGATTGTTTTGGCTGAAGAACTGGAGACATTATTGCCGGACTACAAGTTTGAAGAAATGGCATTCGAGTAAGAGCAGAGAGTCAGAAATCATGAGTTTGAAAAACTACCAGAATAGGGAGAAAGGCGAAAGTGATTCAGAAGAGAAAATTTATATTTTGAAAAAGTTAGGTGTTTTTTCTTTTTCCTTCCTTTTCTAGCCTGATTATTTCTTTAATTTAAAGTTCATTTCAGACGATTAAAAATAAATTACATAAAAATTGTAAGTATAGTTTTTACAATTTTTCTTACCTTCATTATTTAAGTGTTTCTGATTGTTTATCTGACGTATGCTTGAATATATAAGACAGACCAAGGTTACTTTTCTATGAGAGTATAACTGAGTTATGAAGAGAGTTGAATATTTTTGTTGATTATGTTTTACGGAAGTTCTGTGCTGTTTTAGTATTTTATTTATTATGTTTATGTTTTATTTATTATCTTGCTTGATAAACATTATTTGTAAGCTCAAAGATAAGTCCTCAATTAAGCTTGCTTGGCTTTTATCACTACACCAAAAACTATTACTGTAATTATTGCTAACACATTGTGGATTCCTTCTTGTATTAGGATATTTTTACAAAACAATCTTTTGTGTACAGACTAAATGATGCCACAAAATTGGACATTTCTACAAAGAAACAATCTAAAACACACCTCAAAGCTTGTAAAGTTATGGTTTATGCATATAAAGTATTGATGTTTTTTAGTGGCCAAGTTTATATTCCAAGTTCCTTAATTCCACAGAAAACCTATGGGAGGAGGTAAAATCCTTCATAAGAATACGTCTGTATTCAAATAAAAGCCTGTTATCCCTACAAGAATGTGATGAAATTCTAGTTCTGTGCATAAATACCTTATTGATTCTATACCTCATTATTATTGTGCTACTGTGTTTGCTGCTTGATTTTGTTATATTTAGTTTTTAACTCAGAATCTGAAGAAAAGAAGAAAAAAATTAAAATTGAAATTTGACTGGGTATTTTCTCCAGAATCACTTGAAAGTGACACGTTCATAGGATAATTATGTATACTTTTAAGTGTAACCTAACAGTGAAGACATGAGATAAATTCTGGGTTAATATCCAAGACAATTGGAACAAACCCTGTCAGGAGGTTGAGGAAAATTTTGAAATAGCCACGACCACCTGACAGAACATCTGACTCAGATATCCTTCCGTCAAGTGTATGCCAGATCTGTAATGTTTGGTAGGCATCATTCATGCTGAGCATCTTACATGCCCAGATTTAAATCAGGAGTGTAAGAAACTATTTGAAATTATCGAAGTAAACTTCTATGTTCAAACTCTACTCTTTCTATCTTGCTTGTTTATCTATTTTTTATTATTATACACTTTTGTCTTTGTGATGAAGTGAGCTGTCTGGTCTATGTAGATTTATATTCTAAAATAAAGCCATTAATAACACTTTTGAGCTGGGAAATATTGTAGTTTACTTCAGTTTTTATGTTTATACATATAATTGAGAAATAATCAAGGTGATGTTATTTTAATCTGATTACAATTATAAATAAAAATGAAATTTTTCCTTATTTAAACTACCAAAAGCTGGAAGAAGTTATAAAAATATACTGGTTGCAGACTTTCGCATGTTGATGGATATTATTAAGTAATCTGCTTAAAATTTCGATTACAATTATAAATAAAAATGAAATTTTTCCTTATTTAAACTACCAAAAGCTGGATGAAGTTATAAAAATATACTGGTTGCAGACTTTCGCATGCTGATGGATATTATTAAGTAATCTGCTTAAAATTTCGATTATTTTGTAAAACATGTTAAGTTTTTTTTTCTGATCATGTTAATTGTGGTAAATTAGATTCAAGCTTAGAAAATATGTAGTATTCATTATTGAAAAACGTTAATCGAATGTTTTCTTAAGACAAGCATACTGGCAAATAGTATCTTTAGTCAAAAAGTTGAATTTTAGAGTTTTACACCTATAAGAACTTTTTTTTTATTCTATTCAAATTTTTGTCATTGACAATAAAAATTTTTCAATTATTAATATGGGATAAATATATAATGATAAATATATGTAAATTTGCATGGAAACAATTTGTATTAACAAATTTTATCCAAAGATAAAACTGATAGAAGGAAGATAAAACTACAAAGGTTATTTCACTTGATAGACTTGATTAATGGACCGAAGATAAAACTAAAGGTACTGTTATTTTCAGAAATATAATAGTAAAAGCAAAACGTAATAACTTTTCCCAGAACATCTATCTATTTGCCTTATTAAAATTTCTTATTTCCTTAGAAATATTTTTATTTTAACTATTTTCCGCTGCTTAAAACCTCATTGGTTGACAGTTGACTCAGAGCTCAATTACATTAATGGACTTTTCTTGAGTGCAAATACTGAAATCAGTTCTCCATATATTTTCATGTTTTAAAAAAATACATTTTGTACTTTTTTAAGTAGATGATAATTTTTTTAAGAGGTCTCTTTCAAATCTTTAAAAATACATAATCTAATTTATAATCAATATGATGTATATATTTTTAATACTAGGTTATTATTTTGAAATTATAGTTATTTTAATGATCATGTTAGAAGATAACTATGTTTTGTTCTCAACCAATACACGGGGCTTCTATCTTTTAAACCTTTTATTTTATACACTTCTTTCTTTTAAAAATATATTCTATAAAAAAATAGCATATGTATTTTTAATAAATTCTGTTTTTCTAAGCATTTTTTGATTTATTTGCAAATTTAGCTTCAGTACATGTGATGTCAGTTGATCCAGCTTCAATATTATCTCATGCCAGTTGTGTTACAGTTCTAGAGCTTTCTACTGTTCCCCAGTCTCTTTCAGATTCTACCCAGGTAATACAACCTTTCCCTTTTATTCATTGATTTGTTTTCATACATTATGTATAGAAGAAATTAATGTTGGAATGGAATATTGATATACAGATTGTACGTAATTTGATACTATGTAAGTATACCGACATATATTTGTATATATGTTACTGGCAAAGTATGAAACGCAGGCATTCTATAAAATGCCTAGGCATTGTATATAATGCCGGATGATTTTAGGCAAGCTATGATTTATGAGAAGTATTACATCCTTCCCCTAGGTATTGTATATAATACCTAGGCATTCTATAGAATAACAAATGCTATTAAGGCAAAGCATGAAAAAAACGTCCCGATGAAGTTAATATGTAAATTATGTGCATTTCTCAAAAATAAAGATTTTATTCTGAAAAAATAATAAGAGTGCCATTAAAAATTTTTTTATTCAAAATGCGTAAAGAAAAATGAAAGCTGTACACAACATAATTTATGTCTTTTTTATTAAGGGAGCGAAATTTTCGTATAAAAAACTCACATTTAAGTCACAATTATTTTCAGTTTAGAAACAAATATTGCACGAAATATCCATTTCATCACCTTTACTAGCATGGCCACAGAAGGTTTTATACTTTGCCGGTTTCTCATTTGGCATTTTATAGAATGCCTAGTAAATGTGTGAAATATAAATTATTTCATACATTGCCGGCTAGTTTTAAGCATTATATACAATGCCTAGGCATTCTATAGAATGCTGGATTTCAAGCTTTGCCAGTAACATATATTCTAATAACAATATTAATATATTAAATAAAGTATGAAAAGGATAAACATTTATAAAAAAAACATTGCATTAGTACTTATGGTGGAAATTTTCATATTTAAATGAAATAACCAAATTAAATAATAAAAAATCTGTTTTCTCATTTCCATGTCAAAGAAAAAAAAAAGAAGCATAATTTAGCTTATTTTTATTAACTTGCACATTATGCATGCATGTATCAAAAATAAAGAAAGAGCTAGACTTGATGTTTCTTGAGACCAATGAATTCATCTGCTGATATAAAACCTGATTTTAATATCTTTGATAAAATGTTGAAAAAAATTTATTCCTCACATTAAATGTTTTCAAAATAATTAGTAAGTTCTTTTTTTTTTTGGTTGTGTTAACTATTGCTATTAAAATTTGCTTTTAAAGCTGTGGCTGCACCAAAGGAAATTTGAACTCTTAATGTTCCATAGCTGAAATTAATTGGGGAAACGCTCTTCGAGCGAATAACCCTCTCTAGCGAATTTTTTGCTCTTTGCTACGAACAAATAACTTAAATATTCTAAAAGTTAATTAAATTTTTAAACAAATTGTGAATTAGTCAAAATGTTTCTGCCTAGATAAATAATTTGAAAGTTGTGAGCTTAGATTATGCAGGGTTAGAGTAATTTTTTAATTAATAAAAAATTAAATCGCAGGCACTTTTCATTTTCACAAAATTGTGGCTTTTCATATTAATGTTATGGGTCATTTTCAAAATTAGCATGAAGTTCGTTGGCTAAAGAGTGGCTTAACTTGATCTACAACGTATAAATAATTTATGTATATTCATAGCAGTTTTGAAAATAGTATTTCCAAAAATCATTCCTACATGTGATTGCTGAACCTTAAAAAACAAAGTCTTAGCCAACTCAAATTCTTCTCTTCTGTTGATGCATCAATTTTAGGTTGCAAAAAACTTTTATTGAAACTTAATATAAAGTTTTATGTTAAGATGCAAAGTTTTATTTGTTAAGATGCTTTCAATACTATTTCGATGTGAATTAGTATTTAATTTTCTGAATTGATAAAAATTTTAATCTCTTCTAAGGTTTGTTGGTGTTTAAAATTCTTTATAATGTTGGGAATTGTTTTAATTCTATTGTGTGATTTGAAAGTGTATTAATATGTGGGAATATAATTTTTTGTCTATCAGTGTAATTTCCCATATTCTTAATTTGTGTATTGCATTTCTTTTAGAATTGTTGCTCTTGATAATCACATAATGTTTTTCTTCTTCCTGAAATTGTGTATCAACACTCTATACTATTTGCAGGATTTTCTCAAAGCTTTAAATTTAGCTTAGTTCTGTTACGGAGAACACATGTGTGAATCTCATATATAACTGATTTATTTACATAGTGCTCTTTATTTTCCATAAAGTTTCCTAATAGATAATGGGTGAAAGATATAAAATTTGAGGTTTACACTAATAACTCCAAGTTAATTTTGCATAAAATGTTTTATTTGAAGTCAAGTATGCCTCAAATAAGGAGTCCCTTTCTTTGTTGAATTGGTTTGAATGCTGCTGCATAACATTCACTACATAATTTTTGTTACTGAAATAGAAGAAGATTACTATCTGATTTTTGATAATATTTTTTGTAAAATTTTTATAATTTTTGTTCTTTTAATTTTTACAAAATAAAAATCTGGCTGAAGTTAAATTTTTTTAAACTAAGAGTGTAAAAATAGAAAAATAGTTTCAATCTAATTTGTAGTATCTATTTCAATTAAAGTTGAACTAAACTATTTAGAAATTATTTATTTAAACGATTAATTTAAATTATTGTTAATTGTTGTTAATTTTTTTTAACTATTAAATTTATGATTTTAAGGGGAAAAGTTTAAAAAATTCTTTTTAAATGTATAGAAGTACTGAAGATAATGATGTTACCTAATTCCCACTAGCTATAAAAAGATATTAGCTTAAATTCTTTTTTATATTGTATAACTCAGTTTAATATTTATTACTTTCAATTTAATATTTAGGGTTCTTTTAAGTGCAACTGCTTTGGAAAAGCAATTATTCATGGTTTTGTTATTTGGTTTACGGTGCATTTCCCCAACAATATTGTTTTATCTACTTCCCCGTATGAACGGTAAGCTGCTTTGTAGTTTTGATAGATTACCCATATTAACATTTTAATTAAAATCTAATTTTATTCAAAATATTTTAGCGAAACACATTGGGAACAATCTGTTTTATATATTACTCCTGAAGTTGTTGAACAAGACACTGTGATTGATGGGAAACTGTTTATTCGAAGGGGTGAAGTTTATCGTAGGTAAGTTAATTTTTTTTCTATAGAGTGTCCAGCAAAGGATTGACTGATTTCAAAATTGAAAATTTCTGAAATAATGTGCGATTAGAGGAATAAATGGTATGTTTATCGTGAAAATTTTGAAATTTAGTTGCAAAAATTGTAATGTACAGATAGCAATGGGGCCAGGATAGTTCATGAGGACAGGAGTTCGAATATAGCCGGTCGAAGAATTCCCGTGTATTAAATGGTGACTGGTGCACATTGAATCTGTTAGGGTCACAAACTTCTTCAAGTTTCCATAACAACTCAATACCTCTGGTGGTACTGATCCAGGAGTTCCTTTGTCTTTTGGATTGGGTTCAAAATTACAAGGCTACGGAGTTTTACATTGGTAGTCGTAAATTTTAATTTTGTTGGCTGGTTAACGACGGTTACAAAATAGAGACAGCACTGTGAGCATCTATGATCCATGCTAGCATTAAAATATGAAAGGCCTTTGTCATACCAGATTCGAAGTCTTAAATCATTTATTCTATTCAACTTGTGTATCAAGTTCTGAAATATCACAGGTTAGAATATAGTTTTATGTCATTTGTATTATTTTCGAAAAATCTGTACAAAAGCAACTTTATAACTAATTTCTAAAATTGCTGTATAGAAATTTTCCAGCTTTCCCAATAGATATACCGTTTGATTTTATTCCTCTACTGCTCTTTGTTTCGGGGATTTTGAAGTGAATCAACCCACCGCTAGACACCCTGTTTGTTTGCAATAAAAGGTTAGAAGTAGTGTTTATAAAAATTCATATCTTTCTTTGTACTTAAGCATTACGTGATTTTTACTTTAGGTTTTTAGACATTGAGCTTGAATATCATATCAATGGAGGAGAAAAAAAAACAATGAAATTCAAGATGAAAGATTAATGCTAAAATTAGTTAATACCAAATTCATGTACTCATTGAAAATAAATTATCGCTCTCATAGTAAGTTTGATTTTTTTTTTTAGTTGATTAAATATCTATAGATTTTACATAGCAATGTTATTTTGACACTCATCTGTATATAACGCACAGAGAGCAGAAAAAAACGGACCACCCTGAATAACTTTCGATCTAATGATCAGATCTTCATGGCCTAGGAATCAATCTTAATAGTTTGAGGGCTTAATGGTAGACCTCAAATGTGCTAATTAATTACCGCAGACAATGTTTTAAGTTACGAAATCAGACACAAGAACGTGCTTTCTCTGAATAAAGGTACCCTTTTTCAATGATTTGAATTTCGGACCCAAAAATATAGGAGTAAGCCGATAGTATAGGAGTGGTCCGAAGAGCGCTCTAAAGTTTTGACCCCTTACTGTTAATTTTTGCATATTCCCTACATCAAGAGAACTTTTTAAGCAATTGAAAAAGTTTTGCATACAATTATAAATTTTTTTTATCCAAAGATGCAAAATATAACTTTTAGTAAATATTTATAATTTTTACCAATGGCCGAAAAATTTTCATTGGTAGGGAATATAATTTTACATAGCAAAATATAAAATTTAAGCTAAATTGCTTGAAAAGTTCCTGAGAAATTGAATTTCAAAAAAGTCAGATATTTAAAATTCAATTTCTCGGAACTATTAGACCGATTTCACTCAAATTTTGTATTTTGCCATATAAAATTATGTTCTTCAAAATGATGTAAAAATTGTATTCCTTACAATTCAAAATGTTTTTAACTATTATGAAAACAAATAATAAATATTTGCTTAAAGTTATTTTTTGTATCACATTATCTTTGGATAAATGATTTTTATAATTGTGCAAAATACGAAAGTAAAATTAACATCAAGGGGTTCAAACTTTGGAGAGCTCTCCTGACCAAACTATTTGGACCATATATTCCAGGCTGCGGCTACCCCCTATAATTTTGGGGTCAGAAAACTGAATTCATTGAATAAAAAAGGTATGTTTATTCAGAGAAAGTGCGTTTTTGTTTCTTATTTGGTACTTTAACTATCGTCTGCACTTATTAACTAGCACATTGGAGATCACCTCTTTGAACTATTAAGATTGAGTCCTAGAACTTGAAGATCCGATCATTAGATCAAAAGTTGTTCAAGGTGGTCCATTTTTTATTTTGCACACTGTACATCAATTGCTTTTTATTGGTAATATATTACAAGGTAAGTAATTATATGAAATCATTCTTTTTTTTGAAATAAATATTAATGCTTTTTGATAAACTTGTACCAAAACCCTTTTGCCTAGTTTTTTTCTTTTAAATTAAACTAGATTCTATTTTAGTTCTCAAAGCATTGCAGCAACTCTGCAATTTTTTAACATCCTGAAACTAAAACTTTCTACTTGAGCAATATTTCACCATTTTCAAAAACATACATTTTTAAAAACTGCCTTCATTGAGATTTATTTAACAGAAGTTTCAAATCTTATAAAAATTTCTTTAATCTATATTTGACTAGATAACAATTTCATCAACACACATTATGCACATGCTCACACTTAGGTTGACAAATAGGTATGTACTCCTCTTTTAGTTCATCATTTCTAGTTCATGCTGCTTTTCAGCAATTGAAATGTTCGAAAAATAATTTCTACATTGTAGAAAATTAGATATTTAAATCATTTTTAGTCTGAAACTAAAAATATAAAATCCATTTGTACAGTAATATACAAAATATAAATATACTCGCAATCATACGATAATATCACTATGTGCAATCCTGCTGTGAGGCAAAGCATTCACTCTGTGCATATAATACTGCATCATGAACTGTTGGAAATAAAAACTCTTTGCTCACATTGTTGAAAAATCCTTGACTTTCTAAACTTTCAAGAACTGGTTCTAAGAAGAAGAAATTTTTTTATCAATTTAAAAATAATTAATATAGCAAATGAAAACATATGTTAAAAGTATAAATTTTACCTTGAATACAGGCTAAATATATCACAATATTGTTTACTGCAAATTCTCTCATCACCTGAGTGGGAAAAAAAACATTAGTTTAGTGAATGGTTGAACTGATATCATCTAAATAAGACAAGTAAGCAGTCACATTTTTTGTAAGCGATTTGGTAAAATAAGCTTCCTAGTTTTGTTGTAACCTATTTGACTTTTCCATCGAAGCTGAATGAACATTCAAAAATCTTCTAAAAAAGACCATTTTCTTAGACTGACTATCAAAATCTACTTGTGCCAACAATGAACCACAAAAGTATATATTTCTGAGAACATATACTGATAAATAGTGCTAAAAATAAATAAACAGACCATCATGAATATCTAGTGATCAGATCTCCATAGTCTGAGAGGGTCGCCTCAAATAAGCTAACTAATTAGTGCACATGATATTTTAAGCTACAGAGTCAGACATAAAACAAACTTTCTATAAATAAACATACTGTTTTTCCACTGTATTCAGATTTCTAACCCCCAAAATATATAGGGGGTAGGTCCCAATAGTTTGTCTAAAGAGCTGTCCACGATTTGCACCCCTTAATGTTAATTTTGCTTTTTGAATATTTCACCATATCTTGAGACATTTTTGAGCCAATAAAAAAAATTCTTGCTCACAATTACAATGTTTGTTTATCCAAAGCTAATTCCATGCAAAAAGTAATTTTTGGTTAATATTATTCAATTATTTATTTCAACAATAGTCAAAAATTTTTTGAATTGTTAGGTATGCAGTTTTAAGGAATGCAGTTTTATATGTCCAAATAGAAATTTTGTGCAAAATTGGACGAATATTTCCAGAGGAATCGAATTTTAAAAAGTCACTTATTTGTAATTCAATTTCTCAGAAACTATTAGCCTGATTTCGCTCAAATTTTGTATTTTGTCTTGTACAATTACATTCTTATAAATGATGTAAACAAGTCTATACCTTGCAATTCAACATTTTTTCAACTGTTATTAAATAAATAATAATAAATAGTTACTAAAGGTTATTTTTTGCATGGAATTATCTTTGGATAATTAGACCCAAAAAACTTTCAATTCGCTCAAAAATTTATCACTATATTGCGAAATATGCAAAAAGTGAAATGAAGGGATAAAAACTTTTGATCATTCTCCTGATATAACTGACTATATTTCATAGATTGTGGCTAATATCTATATTTTAGGGGTCACAGAAATCCAAAAAGGTATGTTTAATCAGAGAAAGTGTGCTTTTGTGTCTGATTTCGTAACTTTAAGTATCGAAGTTTAGTCTATCTTGAATTTACTGAGGAGGAGGGGAAAAATTTACTCATTACTATTTAAGCATGTCATATAGGGTAAAAAATTATATCATAAACGTTATATCTAATAGTTAAGTTTTAAATAAAAAGCAATCTAGGCATAAGCAATTGAAATAAATACTTCAGTTCATGCTAATAAGCAATTGGATAGCAATATCTCACCCGGATAACAGTTCTGACATTGCTATCCAGGTGAGTGAGGTATTGATCCGAAATGTATTTTTTTTTGAGGATAAGCAATTGATAGAAATACTTCACTTCATTAACATTTTAAAAGTTATGAAAGATTTGCAAATGAAAAATACATAAATTAATGTCATTTATATGCAGTTTGCACTATAGAGTCTTAATCATAAGTCTGAGTTCATTAACTTATTTTTTATGAAATTCCAAGCTAAAAACTTAATTGTATTTCATGACTTCTATTTCTGAAATATATCTGTAAATTATGGAAATATCAGGTGACTAAATATTTCTAATCAAAAACTAAAAATAGTTATTTAATGGGCTAAAAATCAGAATCTTCAAGATTTTTTTTTTAGTAGTACTTTATTTTAACTCTAAAGAAACTCTCGATTTCTTCGTTGAAAAAGTTTACATGCAAATTTTATCTCATTAAAAAAGTTATATTTTTCTACAATTATATTTTACTGTGTTTGAATAGCTTGAAGCCAGAGGCAGGCTCTGGTGGCTATAGTTCATGGAATAGAACATCCCAACTGAGCTTTAATAACTTCTGTAGTCAGGCGCATGATTTTTCTTTGATGAAACACTACCTCTTCTGATTTGTTTCCAATTGCTGTCCTTAATTTATCTCTACTTGGGAGCAACGCCTACCCAATTGTCTCCTAAAATGCTAGAATATGACATGTATCATTCACATTTGTGTTCTAACTTGTCCTTACAACACCCATTGAAACTTGGCTTGAACTTCCTTAATAAGCCAATAATAGAAAAAAACATGAAATAATTCAAATTGGCATGGGTTCGTTTTTTATCTATATAATAAATTTTTGTTGTTGTTATTTTATGTTTATGTTATTCTGAAATAAGGTACTAAAAATTACTAACTTGCAAAAGCATAGAAACACCTCCAGAATCAGTGTATCCCACTGCTGAAAGTTCTAGAATTATCACTCGCAGAAAATCTGGTTTGTAACTTTGAAAAGCTAATTTGTCTTCAGGTTCAACGATTTTTTCTTTTTCACTCTACAAAATGTAATAATATTTTATAGTGTTTATGAAAATTTCAAAATTAAGTTATATTTTAAAAAAAAAGGAAATTTAAAACTTACATATACATTCTGATATTTAATTTGTGCTTTAGTAAAAGAACTGAAAATAAAACAAACTTTTATTAAAGTTTTGTTCTATACTATATAAACATCTAATATGCAAAGAAATGACACCTAGTGTAACATAAAAATTGTATATGAAACAAGACTAGTTTGCTATTGTTTTAAAGATTTTGGAACAATAAAGGTAAATGTTATTTATTTTGGGGCACTTGCATTGTTTTTATCTTATTTTCTTCCAAAACGGAACACTTTATTTAATTTAACAGAAGGTAAAAGATTGTAGTGGGAAAGTATGTGGAACAGGTGATAACTAGTTCAGAACTGCTGGTCGACATATTTTGCTGGGACATTTTGTTTGATATTTTAAAATAATTTCTTTAATTTTTGTTAGTTTTTTTATATTCTTTAGAGCAGGATATACAATTTTATATTATTGAAATTACATAATATACATATGAGCAGATTTTATGAAATATAATAACAATTATCTGACTGAAATAAAGATTTAGCAATAAAACAAGACAAGATAGCTTTAATAACAAATTATCTTTTCATATGTGCTGTGTTTGAATGGCAAAGTTTGACATATTATCAATTTCATTTTAAAGAAAAGTATGCATCTAGTGGCTGTACTAGAATTTTAGTTTCTTCCTAGAATACTTTAGTTCGCAAACCACTACTGAACCAATTACTGAAAAAATCTCATTAACTAGACACACTTAATGCGCATCTCAAGTTTCTGGAATTAAAGTACCAAAGAGGTAATGAAATTGGGGCTGATCTAGGGTTTAAAACAAAACCCCCATAAAGGCAAAGTGTGTGCTTTTTTCACTGTGGTCTCAGAACATCACATTTACTGCATTCGTTTTATTATGCAGCATAACTAATGTTTTAGGAATAGCTGGGGCAGACCTGCCAACTCTAAGGCTTCAGTGTTCAATCTTAGGCCACCAAAGTATTTTCAGACTTTTTCCCTCTTTTCATTGTGTATGAATCAGAGGACCTGTGCGTGGTTTACATGCAGCCCCTAAAACTTTCCTCCATATCAACGATTTTATAATTCCAGTATATTTATTTTATCTTTAATTATTTTTAGAACCTTTTTTTTTTTAGATGTAATTTCTTTTTCTAGAACTTTTTTGAAATATCTGATAAACCCAAAATAAAGTATAATACTGCTCTAAGCATATATAAAGCACTGCATTTACAACATATTAAAATAGGTAATTTGTAATTTTGTTTATCTTTAATTATTTTTAGAACCTTTTTTTTTTTAGATGTAATATTTTTTTCTAGAACTTTTTTGAAATATCTGATAAACCCAAAATAAAGTATAATACTGCTCTAAGCATATATAAAGCACTGCATTTACAACATATTAAAATAGGTAATTTGTAATTTTGTTTATCTTTAATTATTTTTAGAACCTTTTTTTTTTTAGATGTAATATTTTTTTCTAGAACTTTTTTGAAATATCTGATAAACCCAAAATAAAGTATAATACTGCTCTAAGCATATATAAAGCACTGCATTTACAACATATTAAAATAGGTAATTTGTAATTTTGTTTATCTTTAATTATTTTTAGAACCTTTTTTTTTTTAGATGTAATATTTTTTTAGAACCTTTTTAANCAAAATTGTAATCATGATTACAGCTGTAATCAAAATTTTTTGAAAGTTGTAATCACGATTACAAGTAATTGATTACTTGTAATCGTGATTACAAGTAATTGATTACATAGCTGTAATTATCTGTAATCAATTACAGTTGTAATCGATTACTGTAATCAATGGCCAACTCTGTTGAGAATCACTGCCTTAGAGTGTTTCTTTTCTTTGCTTTGTCTCCAAACCCAATCTTATAAAACTATGCCCATTGATTTAAAGTATCACTATCTCAAAGTAAATTACAATGGGACTTGTCTAAGATTCAGACGTAACAATACCATAGAGTGATTATTTAGTATCATATGCTCAAGAGAGGAGTGACAAATATATTTTAAGTAAATAGTTTTAACTTTCTTACTATTTTATAATTTTTTTAAATTGGAAACTCTGTGACTTTGTTGTGTATAGTTTTATATCTATACTTGCAGCTATTCTATTTATTTACTAGAGGATTAAATTTAATTTAGGGTTTAATAGCACAAGACACAGGATTGGCTGTACTGTGCCGAACATAAATGGCATTACTTTCTCTTTGTAAACTAAGTCTGATAAGGAAGATCGTTGTTAATTTTGGGATCATGGAATCTGTGTTTTCCTAAAAAATAGCAAGCTTTGGGAATTTTTTTTCCTCCAAAATTGTTATTAAATGTTTAAATTATAACTAAATTTTAGCTATACTGAGATTGACCAAAAACATGTGAATAAAATATTAACATGAAAATGAATCTAGATAACAATGGATTCAGTACCACAGAAATTGGCATTATTTGAAATATCTAGCTTTATCTTAAAATATAACGTATGGTAAATTTATGCACTTTCTTTAATTGAAAAATGTTAATAACTTTCCTAAAATGTCATTCAAACATAGCTGACAAAAGGAACAATATTTTTTTAGAGTCAGCGGGAATTCTCATTGTATTATTTAATTCTGACAGATTTTTCGGTTGTTAGAATATGTTTTGTGCATCAAAGTTAAAATGTGTTGTTTTTTAATAACCTTGTCTTAACTTTATATTTGTTCTGTTAACTTTTTTTTAACATAAATCTTATTAAAATTATTTTTAGAGGTATATCATTTATTTACATTTTAATTCAAGCTGTTTATAGAAAACTTTTTTAAAATTTTAAAATCAATTTTATGAATTTAAAAAAAAAAAAAAAGAAAACTATATAAACTATAAACTTAAAATTATTAAAATTGCAAAAAACTTAAGTTTTTTAAAAATCCACTCGGCAACGGTTCCTCAAAAAAATACCTCGAATTCGGCCATTTTAAAATATAATTTTTTTAAAAAAAATATTTTTTTGTTTTCTTTAAATAAAAATGTTTATGATAAAAAAACTTACTATTGAGATCGGAATAGTACAGTGATGAGAGAAAATAAAATTCCAATAATCAATCCATAATCCATGTCCAAAATAATGACTGAAAGGAATGTAACAACCCAAACTGACTAAAATAATGGAAAAAAATATTTTACAATGCAATTCATGCTATGGTATCCATTAATTTTCAATCCTATTTTAAAATCATTTTACTTACATAAAAGCTTTAACCCATTAAGATACCTATCAGCTATTTTTAGAAATAATTCTAAACATGTAGAAATCAATATTCATTTGTTTTGAATTTTGTAAATGGGCACATGTGCTTGGTTGATAATGCAATGTATCTATTTTTATTTATATATATATATAGAGAGAGAAAAGTTGCCTAAATCATACCTAATATTGCAACACTTTTATTATATACAAAGCAGATTGTGGACTCAACCAAAAACAATCTAAAATGCATGTGAAGGTTGCGTAAAGACAACAGTGGGAAAAAAATGCATTCTACTGGCTGTATTGTGAGCATTGATTGTGTTGTAAAAATTTTAAGTTTGTCATTAAAGTGTATTATTTTTTGTCAAATGCGAGTGAACACTTAATGTTATATCTATTCTCTTTTTTGTCTTAAAATTGTCTATAAAAACCGTTGTCCAAGATTATAACATTTTGAGTTGATGTAATTAACTTAGTATCCCATATTTGGACACATTTTCTAGATTTTGCTTACTAATAAATTAATTTTCATTTTTGAATTTTTTTTTTTTTTTTGNTTTTTTTTTTTTAATTTTGTAAAGTTATCAATCACAGCTCACAAGTACATTAGATTCAATAATGATGAATCTCATTTAATTATTTTGCTCTGGTCTTTATTTTAAAAAGTGTCTCAGATAAAAACTGTTTCCCATATATATTGTGTTATCAACAAGAACTTTATTAATTTGTCTAATTTATTTACTTACTTTCAATTAATATATTTAAAAAAAAAAAAAATTATTTAAAGGATTTTTTTTTAAAATTTTGATACTTTTGTTTCATGCACTACTGCATCCCTACATTAAGAATTTTTCAAATAAAATTAAATATTATTGGGTAATATTTTTTCCTTACCAATTTTAAAATACAATTAACAATTTAAGAGGTAGTAAATTTAAAAAAAGAAAAAAGATGAAAAATTATTGCATTTTTCAAGCACTGAAACTTTATTTAAAGTTAAAAACAACAAATATCTCAGAATTATATTTTTTAATTATTTGATAATAATTTCATTGATAGTTATTCTAGTTAATAGCTTAGTTCTGTAGTTCCTATTTTTTAGTCCCCGTATCTTGAATTTGCAAAAAAATTAACTCATTTCTTCAAAACTTGTTGTTCTGCCATTCTAAGGCTAAATACTAAAGCTCTATGCATAAAAGCTATAGCATTTCAATGCTTAAAATTTGCGATTAAAAAATTACCCACAACGTGCAGTTAATTCCCCCCCCCCCTTCTGTTTCAAGTCCTCACATTAAACATCAGTATCACAGTAGCAATAACTTAATTTAAACTAAAATTGTTGATAAGCAAATTTTCTGCTTAATACGTCAGGATAAAGATAGTTTTCAGACCAAAAGCAAAATACTACTTACTGCATCCAACTTTGATGCTGTCCAAGCTCTTTTAAGATCTCCGAAATATACCAACATGGACTTAAGCGACATGACAATCACAGCAGAAAGAACACACTAGAAAAAGATTAATAAATTGAAGGCTTGCAAATAATTTAAAATTATAGCATGTTAAAGTTAAAAATTAAAACTCTTCCTTCATATTTTCTCTAAAAAATATAAGATAAAGTAAGCCTTCAAAATTAGAACAACCTACAAATATAACTCCATTACGTTTATCCAAAGTTTCACGATTTGATACTAAATATTTCTACAAAATCATATACTAGATATTTTTAAATTTAAGAGAGAGAAAAAATAATTAATTGTTTACTAAGTTGTTCTTGCTATGGAACAATTTGTTACCTAAAAAATTGCTTGGTATGTCATACTTTGATGAATAATAAAAGTAAAGCATAAATTAAAAATTCAAAAAACAGTTGTAAAAATTTTTAATTTAGCATAAAATCGATCCTTTGAAGAATATCCTTCACTTTTTCTCGTTGTTATAACTTTTTTTATTGTCTAGACAATTTTTTTTGAAATTGACAAGTTCTGCAAAATTTAAGAAATTGCTAATAACAAAAGGAAACTTTCTTTAGAAATTATATTTAATTATGACTTACGCTTGGTAATGGTTCAAACTGTGGTCCCAGAAAAAGTAACACCACAAGCATCAAGATGCAGGAGACGAAACTAGAAAGCTAAAAATAATATTTATGTATCAGTAATATATGTGCTCAAAGCATATAAGTCAAAGTCCTGAATTTCAAAAAAAATTCAATTTTAAATTTTTTGAAAATTTATTATGTGTAAGACAATGTATTAAAATAGTTTTCTGAAATGCTCAATTATGGATAGAAGTGACACTTTAAACATTCAAATTAAGTAGTTAATCATAGGATTATGACGCAACAAATTTAATGATTTTAAAATGTGTAATTGAAAGACTTGAATTAATTAATTTATTTTAAGAGAAATAAATTGAATGAATTCTGAATGAAAAGTTACTCCAACGCTAAATGTTTTAATGAGAGTGCTTTATTAGAGAATTACTATCGCAAAATTTGCCGACTTTTTAAAACGTTTAGTATTTTTAATTTCTTAGCTGTTTATTTTTTTTACCAACAAATATATATAGATATAAGAAATATATATAAATGAAGAAAATTAAAAACTAGTTTTTATTAATTATAAAAATATACACCTCTTCTTTATTTCAATGAAATAGCTATTTTAAAAATACATAGTAATAATTCTCCAAATCTATATCTAATTACATTAATAATCAGATTTTTCATTATCAATGCAAAATGTGCCCTTACCTGTGTTTTTCCACCACTACTTTCTTGCATTGCACTTCTTGAAAGAGATCCACAACTTGGAAAACAATAAAAGAAGGATGATACAATACCACCCACACCATACGCTATCAGTTCCTGATAAACACACACAAAAAAAAAAAATTAAATTTTCTTTATTTATTGTCATTTATTTATTTTTTTTATACTCATTTACACTTAAGGGCGCTTGCAATAATCCGTCCATTTACTCCAGTCCTCACTCTTAGTTAATAAATTTTAATATATGAATAAAAATTAGATTAAGACTCTAGAAGAAATCGAATAAACTTAAGCATGTATGTGTATAGTACGCGAAAAATAAATTTACATTGCGGTTATCATCGAATTAATACGTCTTTGTAAACAGTGCTACTGTACGAATGTTTCTGGGCGATATGACAAACTTCTTTTTTTTTAAACCTCTTCAAAGATTTCGAAAGGGTCGAAAATGGATTTGTATATTTTACTTTTTGTTATTAACACAACCATCAATAAAATAATGAACAATGATGCAAATTTAATGCAAAAACCTTATCAAAATAAAAGAACCTTCCAAGGATTGAACTGCAACGGTTTTGGTTCAGTTATTAAGGAATTAAATAGGCAATCGGATATATCCATAGGTATTTTACATAAACTTAAACGAAATATGAATATACAAAGAAATAGGCGTATAATCATGACACACTTTCTCATTATTTATTTGAAACTCAGGCTCTTGCATGTTTTCGCTCGTCAACCCTCTGCAATTCTTTTCAGAACGATTTTACCTTATGAGATTCCTCTCCTTGTTTATTTCGTCTTATCCTTATTTAATACTCCATTTTTATTTTAGGAGGGTTCTGTTTTTTCAGTCAGCCAATTTGTAATTATTTTTTTTATACTTCACTTTACATACATTTAATGTTACCCACCCTGACCTTTAACCCTCGTAAATCCTCAGAACTGCAGTTATTTTCTGATTGCTTCTCTCTAAATGAGGTAAAATAAGCGAACGAGAGCTCGCTCATTTTACCTCTCCAACAAAATAAGGCGGATTATCTAATAAAGCGGCAAAAAAATCGAGATATTCGAATTGAGCAATACTGATTTCTGGTGTGCATATTTAAAATTGTAGATTAAAAAATCCTACAAATTTAGATATTGGTTCTGACATATAGTTTATAATTTATTTATTTTAAGCACTGAATTTCACTCTTTCTCTGCAGTGAAGAATGAAAATTTTGCCTAACACCTAAGTTACTTAAGAAGGGAAAAGAGAAGTATCACCAGAATCGATGATGTAGTGATGGAAGTTTTTTTAAAATAAATAAATACTTGAGAATCGAAATCGGCTATATACGCATAATGGTTTGCTCGAAAATTGTTTACTATTTCCTTTAAATACTTTTTTTTATCAATTTTTTATTGCTTTCTTTTAAAAAAAAATAGCCTAAATATAAATAAATGTTCCTTACTTGACTAGTATCCACCTCGTATTCATACTTTTTAGAATAGATTAATACCATTGAAAGTGTTGTAGCTGCACAAATTATTGATAAAATCATACTGGAGGTCAAAATTTTAGGAACCAACTCAAATGGTGGCAAATCTGGTGCTTTTAACCTGCAATGCAAACGGATTGATTATTGCTATTGCTTAAAATTAAACACTTATAGGACTGCTGTAATTCTTCTCAATAGTGTTTTGTGATTGGAGGAGAACATATATGCGTAGCGTGAAAAAATCTTTTGAGGAAGCAAGACTTTTTTTAAGTGTGTGTCCATATATATATATATATATATATATATATATANAGTTCCTGATAAACACACACAAAAAAAAAAAATTAAATTTTCTTTATTTATTGTCATTTATTTATTTTTTTTATACTCATTTACACTTAAGGGCGCTTGCAATAATCCGTCCATTTACTCCAGTCCTCACTCTTAGTTAATAAATTTTAATATATGAATAAAAATTAGATTAAGACTCTAGAAGAAATCGAATAAACTTAAGCATGTATGTGTATAGTACGCGAAAAATAAATTTTCATTGCGGTTATCATCGAATTAATACGTCTTTGTAAACATTGCTACTGTACGAATGTTTCTGGGCAATATTACAAACTTCTTTGTTTTTTAAACTTCTTCAAAGATTTCGGAAGGGTGAAAAACGGATTTGTATATTTTACTTTTTGTTTTTAACAACCACCCTCAAAATAATAAACAATGATGTAAATTTAATGCAGAAACCTTATCAAAATAAAAGAACCTTCAAAGGATTGAACTGCAACGGTTTTGGTTCAGATGTTAAGGATTTAAATAGGCAATCGGATATATCCATAGGTATTTTACATAAACTTAAACGAAATATAGAAAGAAATAGGCGTATAATCGTGACACATTTCTCGTTATTTATTTGAAACTCAGGCTCTTGCATGTTTTCGCTCGTCAACTCTCTACAATTCTTTTCAGAACGATTTTACCTTATGAGATTTCTCTCCTTGTTTATTTCGTCTTATCCTTATTTACTACTCCATTTTTATTTTAGGAGGGTTCTGTTCTTTTCAGTGAGGCAATTTTTAATTTTTTTTATACTTCACTTTAAATACATTTAATGTTACCCACCCTGACCTTTAACCCTTATAAATCATCAGAACTGCAGTTATTTTTTGATTTCTTCTCTCAAAACGAGCGCATTGCTTCTCTCTAAATGAGTTAAAATAAGACGGATTATCTAATAAAGCGGCAAAAAATCGAGATATTTGAATTGAGCAATATTGATTTCTGGCGTGAATATTTAAAGTTGTAGATTAAAAAATCTGACAAATTTAGATATTGGTTCTGACGTATAGTTTATAATTTATTTATTTTAAGCCTAAGGGGCCGTTCAAAAAGTACGTACACAAAAATGGAGAAATTTCAAACCCCTCCCCCCCTTCATACATTACCGTACATAAGGTCTTACCCCCCCCCCTTAGAGTACGTACATTTTATTAGTCTACCCCCCTTTTTCATAAAAATTAAAATAATTATGTTTTAAATAAAATTAAATATTTACTTAAGGAGTGTGTAGGATAAAGTCAAATTTAAATTTGGTGTATGTTTATAAAGTACGTACTTTGTATAATACCTCCCCCCCTCCCCATCGTACAAAACCGTAAATAATAGCAAATCCCCTCCCCCCCTTCGGGATGTACGCACTTTTTGAACGGTCCCTAAGTTACTTAAGAAGGGAGAAGAGAAGTATCACCAGAATCGATGATGTAGTGATGGAAGTTTTTTTTTAAAAATAAATAAATACTTGAGAATCGAAATCAGCTATACAGGGTGGTCCTAAAATATATGTCAAAAATGTAAAGGTAGGTAGAGGGGACATAAATAAACATATTTCGGATAGGAATGTGTGAGCGGTAATGGCACATTAAAGCACTAGCTTGTAAAGCAGTATGAATCAGAGGAAACTGAAAAGACAAGTAAAGACAAAAGAAAATAAAAATTTATCAACAGTTTACAAGAGGTGCTCGAAAGAGCAGCCACCAACATCGATACAAGATTCACAGCGACGGCGCATGGATCGGCGTACATTAGAAAAGACGTTAGGCATGTCGAGCACATGTAAAGCAACAACAGACAAGCGGGCAACAAGATCTTCTTGATGGGACTCTCGTACACCTGGCTTTTAATATGACCCCAAAAGATAAAATCCAAGCAGGTTATATCAGGAGAACGCGGTGGCCAGGGAACTGGACCACCCCGTCCTATCCAATGCTGGCAGTAGACAGCGTCCAGGTGATTTCTGACTCTCCCTGTACATCCTCTGAGCAGCTAATTCGTTTCCTTGTGCAGTCTCATACATGAAATGCACGTCGGCAAGCTCCACATTGGTGAAACGATGCATGCTGTTTGAGATCCGTGCGAGAATCCAGCTAGCAAGCGCTTTTACACGCCGCAGTCATCAGCGCTCCTTACCGGCTCAAGGCGGCATTACGGCACACACAATCCTATACGAAATATGCTTATTTAAGTCCCCTCTACCTACCTTTACATTTTTGACATATATTTTAGAACCACCCTGAATACGCATAATGGTTTGCTCGAAAATTGTTTACTTTTAAATATTTTTTTTATCAATTTTTAATTGTATTTTTTTTAAAAAAAAGTAGCCTAAATATAAATGTTCCTTACTTGACTAGTATCCACCTCGTATTCATACTTTTTGGAATAGATTAATACCATTGAAAGTGTTGTAGCTGCACAAATTATGGATAAAATCATACTGGAGGTCAAAATTTTAGGAACCAACTCAAATGGAGGCAAATCTGGTGCTTTTAACCTGCAATGCAAACGGATTGATTATTGCTTAAATCTAAACATTTATAGTACTGCTGTAATTCTTCTTAATAGTGTTTTGTGATTGGAGGAGAACATATATGCGTAACGTGAAGGAATCTTTTGAGGAGGCACAAGGCTTTTTTTAAGTGTGTGTCTATATATATATATATATATATATATATATATAGAGAGAGAGAGAGAGAGAGAGACATTTAATGGTACCAGGTGTAAATTCTGATATATTTGTATCGACATTCTTATAAATACAAAAGACCAGAAAGATGAAGACCGTTTCCGATTTGAACAGTTATATAAGGTACTAGGGTTGGTCAAAAATATGGGAACACTTCTATGCTAACTCTTAAAACAACAATTCTTTAATTAGAAAATGTTTTGGAAGATTTGACATGACAAGACTGTGGGCACAACAGGGGCGCATCCAGATATTTTTCCTGGGGGGGGGGGTCATGGACTCAGATTCCCCTTATGCCCCCTTAATTTTTAAAATAGTATATTTCTTTTGTAAACTATTAAAAAAATTATTATTTTAATATTTTTTTCAATTGGGGGGGGGAGGGGGTCATGATCTCTATGATCCCCCCCCGCTGGATTCGCCACTGGGGCACAGTTTAACTCGTCGTTGACTGACGCGTCACCCATATTCGGGTGACAGCAAAGTTTCTGATCAGGCCGCGTCACCCGTATTGGGGTGACGCTTATTTGATTACTTACGAAGGATATTTGTATGTATTTAAAAAGATATTTCACAGGAAGTAACAAAACTATTAAATGTTCATAAAAATAATACGAAAATGATTCACTAAGAAAATTATTGTGAACCTCGTAAAAGCTTTCTTGTTCACTGCTATTTGGCTCACTACGAAATAAGTTTTTCTTTTCAAAAATTTTAATGACTTAGGGTAAAGATTTTAAGTTATACTACTCCTGCAAAGATTCAAACTGATCGAGCAAAGTTGCGAGATGAGAACCAGCAGTGCAGCAACGGACATAAATGAACAGACATACCATAGAAAGAAACGGAGCGAGATATTGTGTCCACCGGAGATTCGCGTTATTAAAATATAATACGCTTTGTACAGCGGTACTCTTGGCCTGAAGGAGATTTCACTATAAACGCGTGCGGCAGTCAACGTGTTCAAAGATCAAGCTTAAAGATTTTAGAAATGACGTCCTTTTTACCCATGCCTAATTCAGATTGATCAAAATAAGAAGATGAAGTTAATAATCTTTTTCTTGTCCGCAATTTTGAAATTATTCTGCAGAATTGTGATATTTATAAAATAATGATTTCAAATTATAGTGGTCTTTAAGAAAGAAAAAAGATTTAACTCCCTACGCTTCTTTTGTACTCTCTTATGCAAGTTTTGCCCGGGTAAAAAAAAAATTCTAAAAGCTTTAAGCCTCTGATCTTTCAAATTTTGCCAAGGAAAATCTTCTACAACATTTGCTGCAAAAAAAAAAAAAAAAAAAAAAAAATGTTTACATAGAGTTAATATAGAAGTGTTTCCAGATTTTTATTTAATTTTTGTAGGTTATCGTCATATGTAGTTAGCAAAAAAAAAAAAAAAAGTACTTTGCACTTATTTCTTCTTATTGAAGCANTTTTTTTTTTTTTTTTTTTTTTTTTTCAAGTACATTTGAATATTTTTAAAATTCAAGTAATCTTTCATTTTGTTGCAATTAACTTATTGACAAAATATTTTTAAGCAAAACTTTAATTATTATGTAAACAAATAATTGATATATATACATATTTATTTTCAAGAATAATAGAAAACAAGGATGAGTGAAAGGCGACCACGGGGGTTGATGAGCGGAGCCTCCTAGTAAATTAAAATCATACTGAAAACTTTTGAAAGTAATGTAAAGTGTTGATGAATAAAAAGTACGATTAAAAAAATTATATTGTTTATAAACAAAACTAAAGTAGCTGATACTAACCTAACAATTATAATCTAAAAAAATAAGTAGATAATATTTAAATTTTGTTTCATTGAAAAATTGTTAGATTGTTCTTATATTTTGTTTCATTGAGTTCGAATTGTTACAACTTTAAAAAAAAATTTTTTTTAACTGGTTTTTAGGATAACCTTTACATAAAATGCAATCATAAAATGTTTTCATTCTTAAAATGTTTGTGGTTTAAAAAAGTTATAAATTTGAAATTCAGGAAAATTATTGTCTGGGGTACATGCGCCCTGGGATCTTTGTGAAATTAACTACATTTATACTTGATTGCTAATTTTGTCAATGTGATATATTAAAGACGCTAATTTGTTGGAAGAAACAAAATTTCCATTTTTTTTCTCCAGTTTTTTGCGATGTAAATGATTTTGATAGCACTTATATCTAGTACTTTTGAAATAATTTCTTGCAATTTGTTTATATATCAAGGATATGCATTTCTTTTCTTCTTCTTTTTAGAGATAAAATAGTTGGAAAGCAATGCACAGTTATTGTACTTTATTGCACAATTATGTACAAAACTAACGCAGTACTTACCCTGTTGGTGTAAATCCTACGATATCAACATTATGACATTCATGTAAACACATAAATTTCGAGATAAGAGTACCAGCAATTACCTGTAACATGCAGAAATTTAAATTTAAAATGAATACTACTTTATTAATATAAAATATTTAAAAATTAACATTTACAATGAATTCAAGTACCATATTTAAATATTATTCATAAGTTGAACAAAATTTTTAAAACGCAAAATTAATACATTAAAATGAATAATTTTTTCTATGGTTTATTAAAAGATTTACGATCATTGTGAAATTCGGTTTCTTATACTGCTATTCGTGTAATAATAACGTGTTCTGATTGTAAGTTAAACTAAATAGACTAATTAAAATTTTACTAATAATTTCTTTCTTAACCTTGAACGCGAAATTACGGATGCTCTCAGACACTTGGCATTTTTCACTAATAACTACGCATATACCATCTTTTCTATGACACATACAGCAAGCAAGCATTAAAAAAAGGTGAACATATATAATGGCTTTTGATCTCATGATAGTATTATAAGACCCAGTCTTTATGATTTGTGGACATAACCTTAATTTGTGCAGCCTATTTATTGGAAACAAAAACGTACTTTCTCTGAGCAAATATACTTGTTTTACTGTAGATTGAGTTCAAATGAAAGATAATACTTTGTATGAAATGACATTTACGTTTTCATTTATTTAAAAATATTTTAAAACTCCTTTAAAAAAAATATTTTTCAGACTTTTTCTTTCCCCAAATTTTTCTAATCATAAATATTCTTACAATTTTTTTTTTATTTTTTTCCATTTAAAAATAATTAAAAGTGAGGGGATTTTATAGTCTTGATAACCTTCCATCGTCTTGTTCGAAAAAAAAAAATTCTGAAAAACTTCGCCCTTTTAGGTGATTACGAACAGTTCTATAGACCAAAATTAACTTTAAGGAGCGTAAACTTCAACCGTTCTCATGTCTAAACTATCGAAACCATATTTTCCAGATTACGGCTGCCTTTCCATTATGAGAGTCAAAATTCAAAATCCGTAAAAAAAAAAGGATATGTTTATTCAGAAAAAAATACTTTTTGTGTCTGATTCCGTAACTTTAACTATCTTCTACACAAATTAATTTGCATATATAAGTTTAAGCCCTCCAACCGTAAAAATTGAGTTCCATTTCATGAAAATACGATTATTAAAATCAAAAGCTATTATTATCATTATTTTGGCCCACAGTAAACAAAAAATGTATAGATTAAAACATGTGGGGGAATACAAAGCCTGGGATCGCTTTGGAACAACAGATTTACTCACAGATGAAAAGTAAAAAAATGAATGCTTTACCAGAATTAACTCGGCAGGAATTGGAACTTTAAAGTCCTTTAACAAAATGCCATTCACAAGCTCTTTGACAACGATTAAGAACACCAAACTGCATATGGCCATTAGAAACACTACATAGTTGATGGTATCGATGGTTTCAAAGAACGATATCCATGTCTGAAAATATAAAATCATTTCACATTGAACATAAAGAAATATTAATCGATTTAGTTCTTACTGAAAAACTGAAGTTAATTGTTTGGTTAGGATAAACTTGCTCTTGATGAAGGTTGCAAAACATTTAACAGTTTCTTTTGAAAATTAAAAACAAAAATGATCAAAAAAATATAAACAGTCGGTTATTTATTTTTTTCGTTTGGAAACAATTTATAATGCTGATTAGGCTGGATTTTAATTAGAAAATGAATCTGAAATTTTACCATAAAATTGTCATAATTTAACTTTCTTAGCTATGCCCATTTACTCAAATTAGCTCAGTTGGAGTTAATTTGAGAATGAACTCTTTATTTTGAGTTGAACCTTTTTCCAAACACGCATTTCAAGTTTTGTCAATTTTCTTAATCACGTCTTTTCAAATGCGTTCATTTTTTTAAACGCGCTTTCACATTCATTTTCTATTAAATGCGAAGAATAAAAACGTCCAGAATACAAAGTTCACATGCATAAAGCAAATTTTAAAGAAAGGCGCAATTTGAATCGTTATTTTTTAGTGTGGCATATTTTGAGCGTTAAAAATCTCTTAGTTTAAAATTTTTCAAGTTTTAGTAAGTCAAAAATGGTCAAATATAACTTCATCAGTATCAAATGTATCGCAATTTTACAATTTCTTTCACTTTTTTGTATTTTAAATGCTAGACGTTATTTTGGGATATCTAATAGTAGGTAACTTTATCCTATTTCTCAGGCCCTTCTCAATTTGATAAGAGGCCAAAACCCAAATGGCATAAAAGAGGTTCTTTCCATAGAGTTGGTTCTTATTCTCGAATTCACAATCTGAGTCAAATGCAATTAAAACTTCAGTTTTTTAAATTTTTAGGAATGGGCGCAGTATTTAGAAAAATTTTCAGTTGGGAAAAATATATATTTTTTCCTTACCATGATTACATTGAATGGTCCAGAATGCTTTGGGACAGCTGCTCCTGTGAAGGGTTTGAGTTGGCTGGTGAAGATGTGAACAACAGTACCAGTAATAAAAGCGCTTATCATCTCATCCGACATGAACGAAGTCAAATATCCAAGCCTACACAAACCCATGGCTGTCTGCAAAAAAGTTTAACCGTATTGACATTTTTTATCAATAATAATAATAAAAATCATTACGTTCATTAGTTGTTAGTTTGGGGAAGAAAAAAGCAAAGTTCTAAAGTATAGCAGATAATTAATATTATAGCTTAAGAGAAATGCAACAGTAATAATTTTGTAAGAGGCTTATTTTTATATACAGATTTATCACACTCATAGTGGAGTGAATAAAAACACATTTTTATTTTTTAATAAAAGCATATGCTAAATGCAAACCTGAAATTATTAATGCAATCAACACTCCAGGTTTTATTATTTATGTATATATAAGTTCAAAATGAAGATAAAACAAAGGAAAATTATAGACATATGAAAAAGGGGGGGGGATAATAATTATAAAAATAGCTGAGCATTATTTTCTTGAAGAATAGCTCCTGAGAGATCTACTATGAGTGTCAACATAATTGGCTGAAGGATGTCACGAACGTACCGCTGGACACAGCAAGGTGATCGTGTGTCATATGCGATCTCTTTAATCTATAGGATCATGTTAGCTGTGGAAGCGATGTACTGCTATACAGCGTAGGCAGGATTGACACTCTCCCGCCATTGCATTCGTTTGGAGTGGTGTCGCTCTCAACGGAGTTGGACTTCAACCTAATAAAACCAGATGGTCCTCAATGATGAATCCTGATTCAATTTGAGTAGTGATGATCGTATACAAGATGGGGGGGGGGGTTGCTGTGGTAAATCCCTCAATCCTACCTACGTTGTACAGCAGCACACCGCATCTATAGCTCGTATGATGGCGTAAGGTGTCATCGCATACGACACACAATCACCCCTAATATTGATCCACCATGCCATGGCAGCCCAGTGGTACGTTCATGACATCCTTCAGCCACATATGTAGCCACTCCTGATAGGGCTCCTAGGAGCCCCTATTCAACAATTCATTGCTTTTCCACACACAGTAAGGGTGTCACAGGAATGTCTTTGCTACTATCCTTTCTTGCCTGTTCAATCCCCAGATTTGTCTCCGAACGAGCACATCTGGGACGACTTGGAACGACCATTTGAACAGCCTCCGAGCTTAGTCGATTTAACTGTGTTTTTATAGCAATTGTGGAACTAAATGCATCAAGACATCGTAAGAGACTTGTAAACTTCAGTGCCCGACCTTATAGAATTCGCATGCATTCGCGCCAAAATTAAAAAAAAGGGTGCTAAAGCATCATTTGTATTTTTACTGCAATTAATGATCATTTCGCTTTGGTTTTTTAATCACTTATTGCTTGTATTAACATTGTGCTTATGTATGTTAAGTTTTGTTTCATTCTGACAACTCGCTAATTTTTATGGCAATGCATGTAAGCATATGTTACCGTTTAAGTGTATAATTCGGTTATTTCATAGAATAAATAGGTATTTTATAAATATAGAATAGAATAGAATAAGTATAGAATAGATGAAAAATTTGTTGCTTTATCTAGTTATTCTATATGAAATAACTAATGATAGACTGTTAAAGTGAAAAATGAAACATTTCAAAGCTATTTTATAAATTTATTGATCATAAATAACAAAAATCTCTCGAAAAATACATTTTATCCTTATTGCGAATAATTAATTGATAAATACTAAGGAAAAGCAATATAAACTAAACTAAATACACAGTCTAAATTCTACGTCTAAAAGCAAAGAAATGAAACGCACACATTATTTTATAGAATACCTAGTTAAATTGTAGAATTCAATAATTTTATATACTTTAACTAACTGGTCTAGATATTTAATGAAATACCTAGTTATTCTATTAAATAACGCATTTCACACTTTAACAATGACAAAATATTTAACCATTATCAAACCGTCATTGAAAGAAGGTCTTCCCAAGCTTTTCCAATTTCGGCCTGGAGCTTTTTCTTTTATAATTACTGTTGTTGTTGCTGCTTTTGTAAATTGTTAAGACTACTTTGCATATGGTCATTTTCAAAATTTTATTTAATTTTTTAGTTACTACTTTGAAAAAGACACTTATTTTTTTCTGAGTTCATTTTAATAGCATAATGAAAAACTGAATTAATATATATATATTGTTTTCGTTTTCACAGTTCAATGCTAGAAACTATAATCTACACATTTTTAATTGCTTTTCCCAGTAAATGGAAACGAAAATATATAATTATTTTCTTCATACACATCAAGATCCAAGGTTAAAAATTAGCAAAAACGTGATGACTGCAAAAGTTCAATGATCTTTACTTAGCATTGAAGCTTCGCAAAACAGGTCTGATTATTCACATTTAATATAAATTTTTATTCAACTGTTTGCTTACTACTTCATTATTGAATATTGTCAGTAGAGTAGGAAAGTTACCATTGAAATTATCAGTTAACTTGAACATTAAGTGAATTTTAATATGCTGATAACAGTGATGTGTTCATCATTCTTATCATTAGTGAGTGCCTGAAAAAGTTACGCGAAAGGTTGATCTGAGATATTTATAGTACAGTATCAAGATATAAAATTTAAAAAAATGCTAGTGAAATAATTTCTTCGGTAGTAAAATTTCTAAATCTTTCATGTTAGTATAGCTGACAAAGATAAATTTTTTAAGTGAGCCTGAAAAATTCTTTACCTGAAGTATACCAACACAGAATGTAAGAATCATTGCAATATGGATTTTGTCATGAACTATGGGAGGATTTAGGCCTGGCATTATAGTAGAATTGGTTGCATTGGCGATGGAATTCCATGAATCCATTTGTAACTTATATTGTAACATTTCTTGCTGATGAATGTATTCTACTTCCGTACCAGCCAGAAGACTTGAAATGGCAAATGTACCTGTTAAGATAACATCATTGAAAATGTTTAGATTTTAAAGTATTCATTTTTTTCGTAATTTAATGTGATTAGAAATAGAATTAAAACTAGGCTATTGTTACTCCTACAAATTTGTTTTGAAAAATAACATTTATTGTAATATAAAAAGAAAAAATTCAAGATATGTCTTCGTAGTTAAAATTTAACTTTTCTTTAGCAGTGCAACTAATCATCACAATAGCAATTATTTTATTTGACGCAAACAAGATTTTTTTTATTGCAACGTGACAAATTTGCTATCTTCTGACTTCACAATGTTTAAATCTTATTTAAAACGTACTGTTTTCAGAGATATTTCTTTATTATGTGCAGGGAATAAAATTTCGTTAAAATATTTAATAAAAGTCATTAAAAATTACTACGAATTAATCCCACAAATGTTTAAAGGCATTTTCTATGTTGTTATGACACTCAGGCATTAATAACGTTACAATTACTATTTAAAGCAATAGTTTCTTTTTTGTGAAAGTTCAAAACTACGAGGCTTCGATTGTTACACAGCTGACCGCACAGTCAATGCAACAGCTAAGCCAGCCAACAGAAAACTCAAAACTATGTCCATTTTGCATAAATTTGCATTCTGCTGTAAATTTTAGTGCTACTAGTCGTGTGTTCTCGTTAACGTACGATATGCACAAGAAAAGTTTATAAATTATCTGACAACCTAAAAAATCAATAACTTCTTAGAACAAAGTTATCTTGGTTGCATTTGCCACAGTTATATTACAGTATTAGATAAACTTTTGTTTTTACAAGGGATAATCAACAACACAAAAATTAACTGCAGTAAAAAATGCCATGAAGTAACTCATGAAAAACTTGAAGTAGTACATAAACTATATAAATCAGCATTTGTAAGTAAGTAAAGGATAAGAGAAAAGCTGCACATGTATAAAATTGCATACTGCAGTTAATATTCAAGTAGTTTCTGTTTCTCTTTCTGGTCAAGTTGTCTTATTTCCATTTCATTGAGAATATCAAAGTTGGTCAGCTTATTTATTCCTTATTTTGTTATTAAAAGGAGACAAGTATGGATGCGGGTTCTGCATCAAATTAAAGAATTATAAAAAGTTAATCACCACCAATTTTGAAAACAATAATTTATATAAAACTAGACGAAAACAGATTTAGATGAGGACAATTTAATATCACTGTAAATTATAACCTGAAAAAAGAAATGTTAGCTAAAAAATATTTAAGTACACTCAAGATGAGAGCTGTAATTTAAAGTATATAAAATGCGTAATAAATTTTATGGTGAAGTAGTGTGAAAATAATTCATGCTAACTTAGCACATATATAGGTTAAATTAGCATATTTGGAACAAATTTTGTAAAAAAATAACAAAATAAAAAATAATATTTTTAAAAACCACGTTTTTGTAGTGGAGAATAATAATTAAAAAATAAAAATTTGAAAAACGAAAAACGTGGGGAGCATGAAATACATAACAGCAATGTTATATTAGTGTATGTGTGCTCATGAGAATATGTATATGTATATCTGTAATTGTAATTGTATCTGAATGTGTATGTGGAATATGTTTGTGTATATGCATGTGTATGTGGATGTATAAGTGGATGTGTATGTGGCTGTGCATGTGTATGAGTAAAAAAATGTGTATATGTATTTCATGCGCCCCACGTTTTTCGTTTTTCAAATTTTTATTTTTTAATTATTATTCTCCACTACAGAAACGTGGTTTTCAAGAATATATATTTTTTATTTTGATACTTTCTTTGTACTCACTTCCAAAATCTCAATTTTTTCACTCACTGTACACAAAACTTTTCAACTGACATGTGACACTAATTTGAAATAATCGAATCGACAACAAAAGACAATCGCGAAAATAATAATTTTTCTTTAATTTTATTTTACTTTGTATGTCTTTTTTCTCTTCATTTTCATGCATTGTCATCCAATTCTGAACTACGTGCCAAATTTGAAGTCTGTAGCTAGGCGGGAAGTTGGTTTAAAATCGATTACAAAATTCCACCCGAACAGACATACACGAAGGCAAGTTAATATAAACGTGGTAAAATATTTCGATGCATTTATCATATAGCTTCAAGAAGTATTTTTATAATTACTTACTTAAAGTCGAGAGCTGTAAGTTATTTTTACAAAATTCATATGTAACTGCTATAGAGAAAGCACAAACTTAAAAAAATGTCTGCTGGCTCCTATCAGTTTAATTAAGTTCTTATTTTTACTTATTTTTTTAAACATTTTAGAGTAAAGATTAACTTACCCATTGATACATGTCTGGATGTTCCTAATAAAACATAGACTAAAACCGGATAAAATGAGGTGTACAAACCATAAACTGGTGATACAGCTGACAACTGAGCATAAGCCATGCCTATAAACATAGAATAAAATGTATCAATTTCACCTTAACTATACCTTTCAATGAATAATAATAATAATGATGATTACCTTGTGGAACATGCATGATTAATAAAGTTACGCCAGTTAAAAAATCTAAAAAGAGGTCATTTTTAATACTGTAATCTGGAAGCCACCTAGCTATTGGCAATGCAGCTTTGATAAATCGATCAACACAATCACATGATACTTTGACATTTTTTCTAAAGGCTGAATGGACCTGGGAATTGAATTATTTATTATTTTATTTTACATACTTGTCAGAGTGTTTCTAAAATATTTTAAATTCTATATCGTACATACTTTTTCTGGAAATGAATCAGAATCTTTTAATGGAGGAGAAGTTTCGTCCAGCAGCACCTGTGTCATGGCATCTCTGTCTATTTCGAATCGACATGGTGTTCGATTGCTGCAAAAAAATTTGCATGTTATTACAAATTGACAGATTCAATAATAAATAAATAAATAAGTGATTTAACTCGTTTAACAAACATAAAAATTAAAATAGAGAACTACTTTTATCGCTATTTAAGTTTTATTTGATTTTTTTAATTTAAAAAATTTCACTATGAATGTTAATATTTATTTCTATCAATATATAATCTCTCTCTCTCTCGCTTTTGCTACTTTTGATTGACGTCCACTAGAGCACGAGTTTGAAAAGTAAAGAACTTTCGAGAAATAAATAAATTGTATGCAATATTATTTAAAGGAAAAAAGCTGAAAGAAATCCACAAAAAGCTTTTAAATTTGCAATGATTTTCAAAAAAAAACAAAACAAAACAAAACAAACTCTTATTGAAATTGGAATATAAATTGATCCTATCAGTACATCAAATTTCAATTCTGTAGTTGCATTTCAGTGGACCAAAATTGTTCATTTCTAACTACAAATTTAACTATTATTAACAATCGAATCGTATTTTTTTTAAGCCAATGAACTCTTTGCGCATTTTTTCTGCTCACCTTCATAATTTTATGTTTCTATGTCTTATAGATTTTGAGCAGCAAAGCAAAATGTAAACGTAAAGCAAAAAAAAGTTTAAAAAATTCGTAAAAAAGCACTTAAAATTGCAATAACTTTCAAACAAATTGAAATTTTGAAAAAAAAAAAACAACAACAACTCAGTGTAAAGTTTATAACCAAATGTAGCTCTTTAAGCATGCTAAAATTTTACCCTTTAGTAGCATACCTACTTCCTGTAAAATGACCGATATGGTGTTTTTTTCCATCAAGTTTAACAGTTAATAATTCTCGAACAAATCATGGAAAAATTATTTGTTATTATTCTATTATAATTCCTGCCCTCAGTAATTTCAAGTTTCTGAGTCTTACAGCTTTTGAAAAACAAAACAACACATAACGTTAAGTATGACACCCGAAACAGCTTTGGCTCTTACGATTTTATTTAAAATAGAGAGATAACTTACTTTAAAGTTAGTGTGGTTAAAAAGTATACAGTTCTTTAACCTTTTATGGAGCAATTTTTTTTCTGTAATGTTATGCTAAATATCTTTAGGATTGAGTTATAATAAGAAATTCATTTAACTATTGCTAAAAATTAATTTGATTTTAAAGTCCTTTGTTTTGATGGGAAGATGGGAGGTATTTTTTAAAATTTTATTTATTTTAAAAATTTAACTATTCTAAAAATATAAAAATATCTAAAAAATATTTTGCTAACTAAGGCATGAATGAGGAAGAAAAAACAAAAACAAATAACAAGATAAATCAAAAATAAAAGTGCAAGGTAATTTGTGGAACATCAAAGAGTTGTTCATTCTTGATGAGAATAGTTTTTGAATTTAAGGTTCATACTAATCCGTTACGGGTTTTCCATTTATTTTGCAAGGTTATTACTAATCCGTTACGGGTTTTCCATTTATCTTGCAAGGTTATTACTAATCCGTTACGGTTTTTCCATTTATTTTGCAAGGTTATTACTAATCCGTTACGGGTTTTCCATTTATTTTGCAAGGTTATTACTAATCCGTTACGTGTATTGTAGTTTTAATTTCTTTAGTTTATGTGGTGGTTGCCAAATAAATGTGTTTTTATGAAAAGAACTTTCTTTAATGTAACTTGATTCGTTACTTGTTCTAGGTATATAATTACAATTAAATTCAATAAAAAAATGATCAAATGAATGAACGCATAAGGGTAAATAGCTACCCACAATGTTGGCCTCTATTATTTATCACACTCTAGCTTTTTAACTCTTACTGTTAGCCTACATTTATTTAAGCAAAGTCTTTTATTGATATTATTTTCATTATATTTTCTGAAGTTATCAGCAAATGGTTGTACAAATCATAAGTGGAAAAATAGTTTCCATCAAAATTTAAAAATTAATTTAGTTTGTGGGAAGTATATTTCCCAAGGAATTATGAAGGATAAAAGCGAGAGAGACTTTAAGTATTCTTGAAGAGAATACCTTTGAATCACTTCATTCAGAATGATTACAGTTCATATTTTATCACAATTAGTATTATAGTGGTTTCACCAGATTTGGTGATATGTGTATCAATAAATATCGAGGTAATTTTAATTAAAAGAGTAATTATGGTGGAACAGGGGATCATGCACCAGTTGCAAGCAAGACTCGACAAGGAATTTTGTGAAAATCAGTGTTATAATGTATAAAACAATGTGCTGAAAAGCATTAAGTAGTTTCCAATAAAGTCTTTTCCCAATTATTTTGTAAAAAAAATCCTAATCAAGGAATTTGATCACAATTCAAAAAAAATTAATATTTCTGCTCTTAAAAAGTTTTGAAGTTTAAAATTAATCATTATTAGTTTGAAGGGAATTAACAGGAAAAACTATTTTAATGTATACTGAAAGCTATCAAAACCTATAATAATAATGAGTTATTATAACTAAATATACAATAACGATAATTCTCACATTAAAACCTGCAGTTTTTAATGATAAAACTATTTAGTAAAAGCAAGGACAAGACATTGAAAAGGATCATTTGGTTGGAAAAATCAATTTGTGTCTTAAATTTAACATTTTATAGCTAAATGACAACAGATGTTTACCTTAAATGTGAAAAAAAGCATACCATATACGAAACAAAGAACAAAAAAAATTTATCAGATATTCTATTTGGTTTAAATAAAGATATTGCATTAGAAAGGAAAATCCAATATTTTCTTAAAAAGTTTAAAATTTGTTTATTTAAGGAACAACAAATATTTTTATTACACGAAAATTAAACGTATTCTCATACGAAACTAAGGGCAATTTTTTTTCCAGAACTGTTAAAGTATCAAACACATCATCTATGATGTTTTATTTGTGTACTATGTTTAATTTGTGAACACTAAAATATTAGGAAGTAATGATATTTTTATTAGAAATTTTGCTTTGAAATACATTTTTTTTATTATTTTAACAAATTTTGAAATTATTTCTATATTCTCTAATATAGAATTTTTGTCACGTTTCTGTCATATTGTACACAATATTTAAAATGAATAATAAAAAAAAAATAGCCCGAAAATAGTAAAACGTAATACAATTGGATGCCTGCAAGCGACGTCATCGTCAAAGCAGACAAATCAGGTAAGACACACCCACGTGACATCACTTACAGGTATCCAATTAAATCTAATTTAAATCACATGGTTTAGCATAATCACTTCACAACTTCTTTTCGAGTTGCAAGTACCCAATTTCGTGGCAACAAACAAGTATCTTTACTAAGACACAGAAGCCCTGTTTAATATATATTTGTTTAAATTTACAATTAAATTATTCTCTTTCGACAATTGCCAATTAAAAAAAAATTTTGTTCTTAAAACATTCAACTGTCCAGTTCATATACTAATAGAATTTAAAACGTGCACAAAACTAGGTCACGTGAGCTGTATGTTTTGCCAAGATAATGTGTGATTAAATCGACTGTAGATGAGTTAATAAAAAAGATTGTTGTAAGGAGTTGTTGAAAACACCTGATAAAAATGACTGCAAAAAAGTAATACAAACAAAGTGATTGGGGAATTGTAGATGAGGTAACAAGAATCTGTAACGGTAGGTGTACAATCTTTGTGGGCTTAAGTTGAACGTATAAATGAACTTTGTTCTCTTGAGTTNTAATATTACAGGCCTTAAAAAATTTTTTTACAAAAGAGTACCGTGTAGCCTTAAGTTGAACGTATAAATGAACTTTGTTCTTTTGAGTTAAACCTTCAGTAAACAAAGCATTCAGTCAAACGCTATTTTTGAACACTTGAATATCAAAGTAGCCGCAGTATGTGATTTCGATGGATTATCATTATTCAAATTTTGTACCTTTTTTTATCAGCAATATATATGAGTACCATAAGGCGGTCGTAAGTTTCATTGTCCTTCGTCCCCTTCATTGCAGATATTGCAGTATTTTAGATTGTCAATACTGCAAATTCATCCTTCCTTTTTTAATGTTCTTGTATACCAGCAATATACATGCAATCCATATATTGAATACATAGTTCCTATGGATTAGTGAGAGAATGTCAATATTGCAAATTTAGTCTTTCCCGTCTTTTTAATTGCCGGCAATGTATCCGTCATCGTTGCTTCGTTGTTCTTCTGAATCGCAGAGAAAATATAAATGCAATGAAATATTTTCTCTTCCTTTTTAATTGCAGACAATATTAGTCTATGTTTGTTTATTTTTTTCTCTCTGGTTGAGAAGGAAGACAATATATCTTTGCAAAATAATCCTTACTTTTTTTTTTATTACAGATATTAAATAGTGGCTGTGTAAGCATTATCACATTGTTCTTTGAGTTGGAATAAAAACGCTTTCAATAAAAATGGTTCATTATTATTATTTGTATAAGTCAATAGGATTTAAAGGGGGCTCTTACATCAGTTTTGAAAAATTTGCTTACATTTTACGTGTTTTAAACTCAAAATGTGCGTGTAAGAGAAAAAATAAATTTATCATACATGCGCATAGATATATGAAAAAATACATGCAGATTTAAAAAAATTAATGTATCAAAAATGCTTGTCAAAGAATGCGGATATATGTTCGTTTGAAAAATGAACATAACTCAAAATGAGTGTTTCAAACATTGACATAGATCAGAATGCCACAAATGCTCCACAGGATTGAAATCTGGGAATCGTTTTTAACAGTGCAACAAATTTCCACCATATTACATCAACCAATCCTTTACCATACAAATGACACTAAACGTATCCCGTTAAAAGTACCAACTAACCATTCAAATAAATATTCAGCATTACGGGATATGCTTGGTTTCAACCTATGTTCAGATATGATGTTTTACTTAGACTAACATGTGCAGAGTGCTAAAATACAAAATGACCACTCTGAATAACTTTTGTTCTAATGATTGAATTTTCACGTTCTAGAAATTAATCTAAATGGTTTGAGAAGGTGACTTCAA